AAATTAAACATTAAAATTTCCATTATGTTATTTTTGTCCGGGATTCAAACTGATATTAGCATACGGAACAGAATAGTGTCATAATATTATTTTAATGTTATATATATTTTAACAGTGGCGTGTTAGAAATAACCACCCCCTCTGCATGGTAAATATAATGTGGTTTAATTACCTGTTTAATTTCTATTCAAGTCTAGATGAAAAGTAGATAAAGGAAATAATCTTTCTCTTTCTCAGTAAAAATTTGCTTTCACATTTTTCTTTTCAATTCTAAATTACCTCTTTCATAATTTTCATATATTTCTACGGGAATTTTTTTCCGGGTAATTATTTTCCAAGGATTTTTTTCCGGGGAATTTATTTTTGGTGGTTTTTTTCCGGGGAATTATTTTCCGCTTACCAGTAAATTTGATCAATCGAATATTTAGTGAGAGGTCGGTTTTGAGCTCGGCAATCAGTCAAATCAAATTATTTTCAAAATATTTTTTAGGATAATGCATAGCACGTAAATATACACATATAAAACAAAAATTAAGAGATTTATTTATAACGCCAGCAATTCAGTATTTAGTCATTGGGTGAGCTACGAGTCGGTTATCCGCCAAATCACGATATTTTAAAAATATTTTTTAGGATTATGTTTTATACGTATTTATAGATATATAAAACGAAAATCAACATTTTTCAAATTATATTATTAGTAAATTTGGTCAATCGAATATTTAGTGAGTGGTCGGTTTTGAGCTCGGCAATCGGTCAAATCAAATTATTTTCAAATAATTTTTAGGATAATGCTTAGCACGTAAATATACACGTATAAAACAAAAATGAAGAGATTTTGATAAATAAAGCCAGCAATATTTACATTAGAAAATTACCATTGTTTTACTATTCTAAACCTACTCATAAATTAAACATCAAAGAAACCTAAAAAATTTTTTTAATTTGTAGGTTTTTCATATGTATATATACCCAAATATAAAAAAAGTGCTATCCAATCATCATTCCGGATTCTTAAAATGATACATATTAAAACATATAACGCCCTCTTACGGATATATATTTGTTAATTTTTAAAATTGAATGAAATGTGAATTTTATTCCGGGGATTTTTTTTCCGGGGAATTATTTTCCGCTTACCAATATTCATATAGATTAAATATTCACCAAACCTCCCTAACCTAATTTTTATAAAATATATGCTAGTGCTACCTACCTTTATCATTTTTTCCTTCAATTTCAATTTGTACATTTTTTTCATGCTCAGACCTAAAGGACCCGGGTCCAGGGTTCGGGTCCGGGTTCAGAGGAAACATATAAAAATAATGACTCAAAATAAGACTTTTTTTATTCATTTTTTATTATACTTCAATATATACACATTTATAATTCGAAATGAGATAATTTATATTTTAAATATTTTATTCAATGGCACAATCATGATATCTTCTAAAATATCATCCTTCAGATTTCCACGTAAATTAAGCAAAATATATTTCAACGATGAAAATCCACGTTTTACGCTTACCTAAAATAGATAGTCATTTTTTTAATACATAAATTATTGTACTTGTGTCGCCGGTACAGCCATGACGATTCTAGACAAGGTATATAATTCTGGATATATTGAAGAATTTTCCTCCCAGAATTTTAAAATGTCATAACTTCCGAGAACTTTTCTATTAAAGATATAATAGATATTTTTTGCTCCTTTCTATCAGATGATAATTTAATTTTTTTTTTCTCTATCTAATAGTAAAATTTCCAGATCATCAATATCTTATTATCGCTACAACCAGTAGATATTGTTGTAACCTCCAATATATTGTAAATAATAGAGTTTTGGGTGTGCCATAAATCTTCAAGATGGTCTATAGCCATTTGTTTTTGCTCACTACTTAATAAAACCTGATATTGCGGGTCTAAATAAATCGAAGCATATCACTATTTTGTAAATATTGTTGCTCTCTTATTTTCGTATTTTCTAATACTATTATTTGAAAAAGAACTTGTTAATCTCCCTAACTCTAATCGACATCTTAACCATATGCCATAAAAATCCGATAAACATAATTGTTCTGCTTGCACTCTTAATGTTGTTATTTTTAAAGGAACCAGCACAATAGTAAGCTCTTTTACTTGATTCCAATCATCTTCTGACAAAATGATTTCACATGTTCCTATGATTAAATCATTACAGAAATCTTTCAAACTTAATAATCGCTCTAGCATCATACATATAGAGGAACAACGTGTTGTGCAATCTAAAATTGCCATTTGCCTTTTCATGGATTTTAATATTCTAACAATTGTGGGAGTTCTTAAATATTTTACAACATCCCTTGCTTTATCAATTATAGTTTTAAAGTGACTATTTTTTAGGGAGATTCCACGAAAAAAATTAATAAAATTATAAAAATTTTATATTATTTTTTTAAAATTAATTTAACACCCTGAACCCTTGGACCTTCCACTTTTTAAAAGGGTCCGGGTTCAGCCAAAATACGAGGGTCCAGGAGGGTTCAGGGTCCGGGTTATGGTCCGGGTTCACATCCCTGGTGAAAATAACATACTTTGAGACGTAATCGTAATTGTACAATAAATATAGAGGTTAATTGTCCTTCTTTGATAGAATAATCAGATCCATTAATCCCAATCTAGATTGGTAAACATATCTTTATTATTTTTTTTAAAAAAATTTATATTTGGTTTTGAAAAACAAAAATAAAACAGAGCTAGATAAATAGTATAGGCCAAATTAAAATAGTACGATGTTGCATTAGGCCAACCTCCTTTTGAGTTTTCTGAATTTGACAATGTCACTATCCGGTAAAACATTAAGGGTAAAAAAAAAATCAAAAATTTAAATAACATGGAAAAAAAACTTTTAATTAAACTTGAAAACTTCTATTCCTATATTTCACAGAGATTAAATGAAGTGTAATTTCATCACCCACCAGGAGCTTGTAGCGTGCAACATGTATATTCACAAATATATAGATCCTACACATGATGTATACCCGTTTTATTATAGTGGACGGTACCACTATGTAGTCAGCTAGCATAGTAAAGAAGAGAGGAGTAAGAAAGTGATCTATTAGTTTCGTTATCGGTAGGATAGTGTTAAAAATTGTAAACAATATGTACCCGATGCCTGGTTAGATTATTTATTTTAGAGAAGAAAAATAAGTCTCATGTTCGGTATATCCTTGGAAGATAACGCTATGTCTATACCGTGTCCCATTTCAGAGTCATCTAAGTTCCCTATAATTGAAAAGTCGGTCCCTGAAAACCATTATCCTAAGAAGTTCATGTTAATATGTCTATCTAGCTTATCTCTATTCCTATATTAAGTATTGCCATTATGGAGAGTGGGTGGGTATTTTTTCAGAATGATTAATTCTAAATTACACCTACGTTTTTTTAAAAATATTTTTGATGTTTTATTAATTATTAATTTTTATAGTTATAAATTGGGAAAAAATAATTTTTAGCTTTCAAAAAATTCAAGTTGAAGCTTTCAACTTTCAGTCTCCACTGTCAAATTATTTTAAAAAAATTTTTAATATAAAAAATATCAAAAGTAACCAATCCATTTATATATCAAAACAATATTTATTTTTTTTAGTTTATGTATTTTTTTTTGCCTATTTTTTACTCCTCCTTACTTATCCTCTTCATATATTATTTATTTTATTATATATTATTTTACTTAGTGCCGTCTAGCTGGCAACGATTTATAATTTTTAGATATTTCATGTAGATGTGGGGATTCGGAATCCGTGGGGATCCAGAATCTCTTGATCTTAAATCATTTACCCAGGGCGATTTAAAAAATTTTAAAATCCGATTTAACCGGAAATGTATTCTAGCATGTGTAGAGAATTTACCCTATAAATTTCAGCCAATTTCAGCCATAGACATTTTAGTATTTTTTTATTTATATGAAAAAGAAAAATCCGTGTAAAAATTAATATAAATTAGAAGTAGTTCTAAAGTTCATAGAAAAATTATTTAAAATATACAGTTTGGGTACTCTATACATGCTAAAATACACCAATTTAGTAAATGATTTAAAATTGAGAGATTCCGAATCCCCATACCACATAGACATAGCCGCGAAATCATATATTTATTTCACAAACAAATAAGTAATTTTGAAGGAGAAACTCTACGAGGGACTCTGGCGATATTATTTTTTTTTTAAAAAAAACTAAATTTAACTCGAAAGAAATAAAAATAAAGTACAAAAAATTATTTTCGAAATATTTCATTTAATAGTTTAAGGATCGAAAGAATCAGCTATCCTAGCAATTTACCAAAATTAGGATCCAATCCAGGATGGTCGATACTTTCATCGCGATACTTTAACAACTCGGGATCAGAAAGTTAATATAGTAAATGCTTGAATTAATTCCTTTTTTGCTTCCTAGTCATTCTCATTTATTTTTTATTATTTTCCAACTACCTTTTTTAAAAAATATTGTATTAAAAATTTTTATGAAATTTTAAGTTTTGATTATGATATTTTATTATAGAATTTAGAAGAAGAAAATAAATTATAAAGAGAGGGTATTTTCCTGCCTCGTTTAAGCTCAGGGTGGTGGGAAGTTTCCAGAGATATTTCTTCTTCATTGGCTTAGAAGAGGATGGTGGGTCGAAAATCGGGCATCAGACATTATTCAATTATTGCTTTTTTTTTAAAATAGAATTCTACACGCTTCTTTATTTATAAAAAATAATCTTTATCATTTTGATAACACTGGTGAGATGCCCATTCTAATGAGGAAATACAATAAAATGTCCAAAAATAAATGATTGAAAAAAAATTCTTATTTTTCAGGCTTTTATTTCTTCATTTTTACGGATTTAATACTGTTTAATATTTTTTTAGGTATAAAAATGATTTGTTGATTAACAAAAAATATAATTATAATAATAATCAATAAATATAATAATAATAATAATATAACAGGTGTGCATATAAAAAAAAAATTTTTGAAAAAGAATTATTGATTTTATATTTTATGATGACTATTCATTCACATTTGCTATCGTATTCTGATGTCCCATGCTAGTAAGCATTTATTTATTACAGTTTATTATCCATATTTATCGGATGAAAACCTTACCGACCGATTCGAGCCGAATTATATACGAATAATATCCGGCCGATATGGGGTCAGTCAATCCCGGATTTACAATCTCTCGAACTTGGTAGTGTTTTTCGTTTGTTCTCTCATTGATATATCGTATATACTCTCTTTTAAACAGTTACCATAAAAAAAAAATTGGGATCGAATTTATTACTCGGATTGTATCTGTTCGGACTAAATTTTTTTTTATATCTCGGATCGTGAGGAACGTGAGGGCTCTTGCTATCTATTATATTATTCTTTTCTTTTTTAAAAATTTTTTTTTATTTCTTTTCTTTTTTTTAAAAACGCATTTTTTTTGTTTTATTAATATATATTTATTTTTTTCATAAATTTGTAATTATTTAATTATAGATATTTTTATTTATTTTTATATTTTTAAAAAATAAAAGGGACTTCGATTTCGAAAGATTCCAAGAAAAATTCCATTACTATTATCAAGTTCTTAATCTTTTTTTACTTATTTATATATTTTTTTTAAAAAAATAATCTTTACATCTAATTTTGGGCTTTTAAGATTTTGTTATGTTTAAATTAATTGAAAAATACTAGAGTAATAATGTCTTTTCAAAAAAATTTATTAAGTTGATTTATTACCTTTAATTCATGGTGACGCGATCGCGATTTAACAGCTGACAGTTTTTTTTTAAAAATCTATTTTATGAGATCAATTTTTTTTTTTTAAATCATTATTTCTTAATTTATTTATTATTATGAATTGAAAATTAATATTAATTAATAAAAATTGATCTCACAGACAAATTTTAAAAATCGATCCGCTGTTAAATCGCGACCGCAATCGCGCCACTATCAATTCAAGTTACTCACGCTGGCAAAGTTACCCTGCGTTTCACGGTTAAGGCGGAATCTTGGCCAGGTAAACAAAATATGATATAGGTATAATTGTTTTTGCATTCATTTTTTGTATACTTCGCCGCGAATTCACGCTAACTGTGAATGTAGGGCTAACTCTTCAAATCACACATCTCGTTATTTTCAGTAAAATATTTTTTTTTAGGGGGAGGGGTAACCATTTCTTAATGATTACTACACGTCGAATTTGGATTAAATAAAACCGCGAAAGATTCGAAATATCTTAATTTTTTTTAAATCATTTAACTGTTGACGATTTTTTTTTAAAAATTTTTAAAAAATTCTGACTTGACCGGAAATGTTGAATTTATTTTAATATCTTTTTGGCGTTACAATTTTTTTTTAAATAAAATACAAACGATTTTTAAATTTATTTTTATAAAAACAAAAAAATTTTCCGCTCATTTTTAGAATATAAATCCCTCTCCTAGTGTTGTTAAACGGCTCATTTTGAGCCGATTTTTAAGAACGGCTAACTCGATATTTTAGCCTAAAAAATATAGCCTAGGCCTTGAGATTTCTCTAATAGATGTCCTAACCTTGGTTCCTTCTACAAGCAAAATCCTCAGGCTTAAGTTATATTATTCTGGGTGAAATAGTGAGTTAGCCGTTTCTAAAAATCGGCTCAAAACGAGCCGTTTAACAACACTACTCCCTACCCATCCTTCATCTCTTCTCCCCCGCTCTCAGTAAATAATTATAAATCGAGAAATTATCAATCCTTGTGGATCCCATATCTCAATTATAATCAGAGATGGGCAGAGGTACCATTTGCACGGCCCGGCTTTAAAAATTTTAGGCCCTGCTCGGGTTTAATATTTTAGGTCCGGCCGGGTCCGGCTTAAGAAAAAATTTAGGCCCGGCCCAGATTTTTTTAGAATGTATTCCCGGCCCGGATTTTTTAAAATATATTATATATATTTTTGTTTTTTATAACTAAAATAATGGCTATTTCAAATATTTAGTTTTAAAATATCACTTGGCCCTGACATTTTTTAAAAAAAAAATTTAGGCCCGGCCCATGATTTAAAAAATTTGATACTGCCTGGGCTTAGGGCCGGACCTGCTGGTCTCTTATTATAATACGCTATAATAATATATGCTTCTCATTATATATTTTTCTTCTTGATTTGAATTTAAACAAAAAACATAAAACAAATTTTTATAGTCAATTACGAGACTTGCAAGCTAGAATAAATGCTTTGCTGGAAGAGAGTTACGAAAACAATGCTGACTCTAAATACATATCGGTAAGTTTAAAGAAGAAAAAAAATATCAAATAAATAATATAATAGAAAATAGGGAATTGGTTCCAATTGAATTGAAGTATTGATTTGGAGAATTTTCTTTCTTTCATTTTTCTTTCATTCCTTTCTTTCTTATTTTTTATATGTTTGAAAGAGAAAAAATATGTTTTAGTGTTCGAACTGCTACTTTACTAACTAAGTATAAATATAATTTAGCTTTTATACTGATCCTTTTAATATATTTAAAAAAATAAATAAAATAGGCTTTAGAAAAGGCGATAGAGGCTAAAGAACTCAGTGATTCCCTAGGATCAAAGTTGAAAGATTTTCTTGCCGATGATATGGAAATTTCTACAAAATCCATCCGGCCTCTCATTGAATTGTATTTCAGCGAAACAAGCAGGGAAAATTCTAATTATGCTGTCAGTTTGATATACATATTTAAACAAATATTAAAGCTATCCTTTTGATCCATCTTCATATTTCCAAAATTATGATGCTAAAATATAAAAATTAAAAGTAAGAATCGAGGATAAAATTGGAAAGTGGCTGCAAAAAATAATTGTTTACTAATGGTGTCTTTTTTTGTTCTTCCACTTCTACTTAATAAATGCCGAGATATGTTTTTTAGGGTAATACTATTTACTTCCTTAATGCTTAAGCTGGGCGAATTTTATTTTATTATTTAGCTCTATGCAAATTAAAAATGTGTTTAGTAAAATGAGTTATTAGGAAATTCGTATTGATTTTATTAATTACCATATACTTGCATATATACATATTATCTATTTTTCATTCAAAACTCTTATTAAAAATTTTGAAGGTATCATTTAATTTAGCTTATCAATACGAGTCCAGTGGCAAATACGAAGAAGCCATCAAATTTTATCAACAACTCAATAAATACAAACATAACTGTAAAGAAAAATATATATATATACATATATATGTATATATATGTATATATATGTATATATATGTATATATATACATATATATGTTAAGCGTCAATGCGTTATTTCTTCAACAGAGGGCCTACTTGTCCTCTAAAACCATTCGTCTAGAGATAGAGGTTTTCTGATTTTAGGAAGTTAATAAAATCATTTTTTGAGCGCTTTTTTTTAAATTTCAAAATCTGATTTTACCAGAAAATGTATTCTTATCATGTTCGGAATACCTATCCTATAAATATCAGGCAACATCGCCATTAACCTTTGAACTTAATATAATTTATATTTAGTTTTTCCATTTAAATATAAATTATAACTGACTCAAAGGTTAAAGCAAAATTAACAACTACACTTTATAAGATAGGTATTTTAAACATGCTGTAATACATTTCCGATTAAATCCGATTTTAAAATTTAAAAAAAAAATGCTCTCAAATGATTTAACATTGAAAAAATAACACATTGCCGGATAAAAACCACATTTGACGTTAACATATATATATATATATGTTGTATTCCATATTAAATCAACCAAAAAAAGTCGATTCTCAACCCTTCGATTTTTTTAAAAATTTGTATGTTGGTAGTATATACACTAACTAATAAAAATGTAAAATTTTACTTTTTAAATCGGCTTACTTCATGAGATATGGCCATCTTTAGAAACGCGAAAATTCCAAAATACCTTATATTTAATTTTAAATATCTCAAAAAGTAATTAGGCTGAAGGCATGATTTAAATTTTATTAAATAGCTCTAGAATAGACCTTTAATATGTTATAAAAATTATTTTATTAATAAAAGGTCTATTACCAAAAACCGGAAATAGAAAACCGGAAATAGCTATAAAATATAAATTGCTCTTTTTTTTTCTTTCAAATTTTTTTTACAAATAGACATTATACTTCTTAATATTTGTACAAAATTTCAGATTTGGGACCATTACTGGGCCAATAGTTATTACGCTTTAAATATAAATAGCATGGCTTAAATCCTAAATTATACCAAATATATAGTAATTTACGAAACAAATAAAAAGAAAATTCCTTTATGATCGGGCCGATTATATTTTTTTTATAAATGTTTCGGGCTGTGAGCCCACTAGTAGACATTATGTCATATTTAACATATAAGTTTAGCGATTTTATTTTAGAGAGAAAATAATTGTAAAAATATTTATAACTTTATTTAGCTAATTATTTATATTACATGAATATCAAATGGAAAATTAATATTGTTATAAACATATTAAATTAAATAATATCATACATTAAATTATCTAATGAATTAGAATAACGTTTGACTTTCATTTTTCCTTCCATTGGAATAAATGAATGATATTTTTGTGTCCCGGGAATTAGTTTGGCCGTTAAAAATCTATTTTCGAGATTGGTTTCCATTCTTAAATATTCAACGTTGCTGACAAATGTATAATTAATACCCGGGATATTAATTCTCGCATAATTATATAAATCCATAGGAGTTAATATATGATTTTCATAAGGACGTTGCAGGCTTGCTCTAGCAGCCAACCTCTTTGTAATTCCCCCTAAACTATCGCAAGGAGTTTTGCCATGTGCAGTTGCAAAAAAAATGCCATTTTGCCTTGATCCCAAAATCATTATAATGGTTGTAGAGGTTTACAAAGTTTTTTTTGTTCTTATACTGGGTAACGGCTCCATCAGAAAAATAACAAATTATTGAAATCTTATCAAATCTTTCTTTCAAGAATTGAATTAAATTTATTTGAAATAAATAAAAGGAACAAGTATTGTGTTTTAGACAATCTGATATAACTACGTAACTTATATGTTTGATGGTACCGCATTCGCAGTAATAAATCATAAATGGATGAAGTGTTGCCTGATTATTAATCCAATGGAAGCCTTGAGCGTGATCTTGAACTACAAAAGCGTAGTTCTCTGCAAAATCAGATATTATTCGATATTCCCCATCCTTCAAATTCGATTTTAATGACTTAAAAAATGAAGATTGTTTCGAAGAAATAAATGCATGAGGAATTGAAATATTTAGAGCTACAAATTTTTTGATTAATTGATAAGCTAGATTTCACTTCTATCATCCATTGTAAAACATTTCTAAGATCGTAACGTACTGAATGAGATTTTATTCTAAAGTGATTATAGCACTATACTGGAATAGAAATAACTTTTCTAGACATTTAAATTTTTTTGGTAAGGAATAAAAGATAGCTATTTAATTTTATATAATTTTTTTAAATTAAAAATAAATTGGATAATGAATACCGATAATTTAATTTTCTTAGAAAAATGGCTTTATAAAATTTATCAATAAAAATGACGGCTGTTGCTGTTGGAATTGAATTTGATTTTTATGATAATTATTTTATTTGATAATTAATTATAAGTAGAAAATAATCTTTATAAAAATATATTTCTGACGATCACAAAGATAATCTTTTATCCAGCAAAGAAAATAATCTACATAATTCACTCATAGAATTGCCAGGTCAAAAATCTCGAATTTAAGAAGAAAAAAAATTTTTTTTTTTTGGGGGGGGGGGCGAATATAAATCTTAAGATGGGGTTCGGATTTCAGTTTTAATACTATTATTCACAAATATTATCACTTTTGTTTAAAAAATAATTACTCATTTCGTATAATATAGAATTTAAGCCATACTATTTATATTTAAAGCGTAATAACTATTGGCCCAGTAATGGTCCCAATCTAGGATTTTGTACAAATATTAAGATATATAATGTCTATTTGTTAAAAAATTTTGAAAGAAAAAAAAGGGCAATTTTTATTTTATAACCATTTCCGGTTTTCTATTTCCGGAGTTTTGGTAATAAAATTATTTTTAATATAATAAATTTTATATCATATTAAAGGGCTATTCTAGAGTTATTTAATAAAGTTTAAATTATACCTTTAGCTTAATTACTTTTTGAGATATTTAAAGTTAAATATGGTGTATTTTGAACTTTTCGCGTTTCTAAAGATGACCATATCTCATGAAGTAAGCTGAGTTGAGAATTAAAATTTTATATTATTGCTAGTTAGTGTATATACTACCATCATGCAAATTTTAAAAAAAATCGAAGAGGGTCGGGTTGAATCTTCAGTTGATTTGATATGGAATACAACATATATATTATATACTTATAAAAATAATGGTATATATATAGAACTAAATTATTTTTTCTTCTAATTTTTGACAAGGAAAGGGCCATAATTTTCTTCCCTACTTGTCAAAAATGTTCTAATGACATTTAAAAAAAAATAATTGAATCTTGGGAAATTTGTTAAGGAGACAATAGTTTTGCTCTACATATGGGCATGGGTTTGCTCGTCACGGCAGTGTAGAAATTATATATTTTTTTAAAAAAGTATGCATATAACACAATATAGTATATAGAAGAGAAGTAAAAAAAAATATGCAAAATTATTAATAAGAAATGAGATTGCTAAATTTATTTTTTTTTGAAAATATTTTGTAAAATTTTTAATAATAAGTGGATATTAGAGGTCTGCATTAGGCAGGGTTTTGGCCCGTGAGCCCACACCCACACATCTATAGGCGGGTGGGTGGGCAGGTTAAGAAATTTAAACAATGGGTGGGCGGGTTAAGGAAATTTAAATTTGTTCAAAAACAAACTAAAGAAAATTATGATTAATTATGATCAATAACAATATTTCTTTTTTTTTATTGTACCAATGGTTTTTTTAAGTGAAGAACACTTTATTAGTTTTTCGACATCTTTATTTAATTTTTCACACCATATATAATGTCTCGTAATGGATTTCATTGTTGTAATACCAGGATGTCTCGTGTGCAATATATGCAAAACTATTTTTTGAAGTGAGTACGGAATGATTAATCTGCCATTCCAAAATAAAATACCGTAATCATTTTCTATTTCATTTATTCTTGTTCTAAAAGCTTGTAAATCTGATTTTGTATATTTGTACCATTTCTTTTCATGATAGAGTTAATGTGTCATAAGTAAGATTTCTTATATATTTCAATGTTTTATTTTCACTTGTTATTCTATATCATTTCTCTCTATTGGGTTTCGCGATAAAGCATCTGCAATTATATTATTAGCGCCATTCTTGTACATTATATTATAATCATATGCAGATAATTTATACACCCAACGTAATAATCTTTGGTTTGTTAATGAGCTTAAATCTCTGTTATTACCATATATCTTTATTAAAGGTTTGTGGTCTGTTCAAATTTTAAATTTTCGTCCATACAAATAGTTGTGAGATTTTTCTACGCCGTTTATTATTGCTTTTGCTTCTTTGTCTATTCTAGAATAATTCTTTTCAGTCTTGTAAAGTTCGTGAGGTGTAAGCTATTGGAAATTCGTTACCATTATCATATTTTTGCATGAATACAGCTCCATATCCTTGGTTAGATGCATCTGTTTCTAATATTAACTCGAGGTCTGGTTTATAAAACTGTATAGTATTTTATTCTGTTACTATTCCGAATAGCATGAAACGATTAAGAAAATAGCTCAGTATTTTATTTTGGAATGGCAGATTAATCTTCGTACTCACTTCAAAAAAGAGTTTTGCATATATTGCATACGGGACATCTGGATCTCACTTGAGGAGGAGGATATACTTCAGACGGATATCCTACTTTGGTGGAAACGACAAGAGATTTGCCAAACCTATCAAGATTAGCAAGAAAAATATTGGCAATTCCTGCAACGAGTGATTCTTCTGAACGAAGATTTAGCATTGCTGGAAGGTTTTTAGAACAAAGAAGAACGTGTTTGAATCCAGAAAATGTCGATTCATTATTATTTTTGCATTATAATTATATATAATATCAATTTTATATTTATTTCATAAATATTTTATTTAATCAAATAAATTGTTCACAATTTAAAATTGAATATTTTTTTTTATGCTTAAATTAATTTCCCTAAATTATAACTTTTTGTAGAGGTGTAGTGCTGTATTATTTTTATTTAGATGCTTAAAAAATTGAAAGAATGGCCATTATCAAATTTTATAAGTGGACTTGGGTTAAAAATTCTTATAAATAATGTGCGAGCGGGTAAAAAATTTTAGACTAATGGGCGGGCGGGCGGACGGGTAAGGAATTTAGACAAATGGGCGTGGCGGGCGTTTAAAAACTATGGTTGGGCGGGCGGGTTAAATTTTTTTAAAACATTGGGTGCAAAAGCCCGCCCAATGCAGACCTATAGTGGATATCTCCCCCCCCCTTCCAAATATTCAAATCATCATAAAAATAAAAATTAAAAAATAAAGTTCGTTCCAAAATAAACATAGCCAACGTGTATTGCAAACGGGGTTTACTGGACCAAGGCCTCAAGTATTTCCGAATGGCATTGGATCAAATCCCCGAATCTTTCAAGTTAATCAGGTAAATTATAAAAATGGAATCAATTTAATCCGTTGCCCCTGAAAGAAAGAAATTTGTTCATAATACCTATCCGAAAATGATAAACTACTAAACAATAAAAATGATAGGAAATTGTTTTTAGATTTGCTTAATTCTAAGCTTTCTTTCTTTTCTTTTTTGACTAACTATAAGCCCGACTGAGCCCGTAAAAATATTTTTTATAACTTAACTGGCCCGATCCGAAAATATTTTTGACTGGCGGGCTAGGGGTCGGTACGCCGACCTTTATAAAAGATCATTTTAAAAATTGAAAACGAGAAGCTCAAACGTTCATCAAGGACCGAAGATTCCAGACCGAACGCAAAAATTATCATTTGTTATTCGAATATAAATATAAAAACAAAATATTTACAGGAAAACTATTTAAATACTTTTCCCCAAAATTATTAGAATCAAGACGATGATCAATATAGGGCTGGTTATGCTTAAGAGCGAAAAGTATTCCGACGCTCTTACTTGTTTTCAACACGTCGCATCGGAGGCAGCTAGTAAAAAAAAATATCTATTGAAAATCAAAATAAAGTTATCACTGTCATATAAAAATGACATTTTTAAAATACACTCTCAATAAGTGATTCCAACATCTGTAATGTATATATAAAAGTGTGGTAGTTTTTTTGGGGGGGGAATAAGGACTTATCCGGAAAATACTCACATGAGGATTCGGAATTTTTTAATTTAAATACAGAAAATGTAATTACCTTATATGTAGAATACAGCTTCTTGACGTTGGCGGAACGATTGTAAGCGCTTACGATGAATCTTATGCCATTTTTTTAGGGCTTCGTTAAGCGCTCCAATCCGTATAGTAAGCTAAAGTTAAGAAGGGCTTGAGCAAATAATTTTTATTAGCCAACTTTATGCTTAAAAATTAATTGAAAGTACTAACGATGTTTTTTTAGTGCCTCGTTAGTAGAGGTTAGTGCTTCTAACAGTGTAGTGAGCCGGAATTAATAAAAAGTCATTTACGAAAATTCAAAACAAATATATTTGAATTAGAGGTCTTCATAAATAAGGAGCCAAACCAGCCATTGAAATAATTTTTAGATATTAAGCCGGCCGGCGGGTTAAACAATTTAAAGATAAATGGGTGGGTAAGTTTAAAAAAAAATTATAAATGGGCGAGTAAACCCGGTTCAAAAAATTCAAAAACAACGAGTGAGCGGGCTTTTTAGCTAAAGCCGGCCCATTGCAGACCTCTAATCCGAATATCTCAATTAGTTTAGTTTGAGAAATTAGTTGCAACATTGTCTGATTATAGAGTAGGGTTAGATACTTCACACATGCTAAAAATACATTTTACGGTTAAATCAGATTTTTCATTCACGTAATATACCTCAAAATTATTGATTTTTTTAGACCAAAATTACTTGACAGAAGATAATGATGCTAACGATGCTTCCAAAGAAAACGCGAATTTAGAAAATTTTGGCGGAAGAGAAGATATCTATAAAGAAATTCTGGTAAGAGTCAATACTTACCTCATTTATACTCGGTGTAAAATACTGAAGCAGAAGCCTAACGATACAAATGCTGAAATACACATCGAAGGTGTTATTAAATAATAATATTTTTTTTATAAGTCTTAAAGTTAGGCTAAGGCCCTAATATATAGTAAGCGCGGAATTCCGCCATGTCGCTCAAATGATTACGTAATGTTATAAAATGCATAATGTAAAATTATGTACAACTATGTTATTCCTTTAGCTATGTGTATTTTTTTTTAGTTCTCTTGAAATTAATTGTAAAGAAAAGGGCTTATATATGAAGAATATCTAACTTTTAATGTATAGCCAATGTCTTGATCGCTGGAAGATCTATGCCTATCTTTTTGTTCTGTTTCCATCTACAAAATGTATATCAGAAACCTGTAGATGCAAAAATTTTAGGCCCAGCCCTGCTAAACCCAGCCCTTATTTGAAAAAGAAAACAATTTTCACTCCAGGCCTTGATTTCTAAGGAATTTTTTTTGACGCGGCCCAGAATTTTTTTAAATTTCGTTTTCTTGAAATAATTTGGGCCGTATTTTTGCAAATTAGTTTCAAAAGGAAAATTCAAAATATGAGCAGTAAATGAATTTTGAACACTCTATTTTATGACTTTCTAACATTTTCCAACTGATTATTTGATACTTAGATTACATCCAGCCCGAATTTTATTAATCTTAATTTTAGGCCCATTACAGACCGGTCTCTAGGTCTCTGACTGATATATAAAAATTTATTTCTAATTTTTTGCCTCTCATTGATATTGGTAAATTTTAACCAATAAAAATACCCTCTATATATTCACTCTCCTGCCCCTCACCAATCAAAAATTAAAGAAAATACTTCCTTATCCCCTCCCCCACTCACATAACATCTTCGCTACGCCTATGGGTTTAATGTTTTTTTAGCGGACGGACGTTATAGTAAATTGGAATACGAGAAATTTAACTAAGGGATATAAATTAATTATATTTTTAAAAAAAATTCATTATAATTTTATTAATAACTCGATTCAATGTTGATTTACATCTTATTCTTCTTTTTTTAAGAGAAAAATAGCGAGCTTATATCCTTAATAAAGAAAGACTTTGAAAGACTCCTAACATTTTCCACCAATTCAGAATTAAGGACGCCATTTAAAGTATATTAATTTTTGTCAGTCAAGTAATATACGGTAAACTTTCAATATTGATAGTTTATAAATGATATTTTAAAACTTTTTGCATCTGGTACACGTTGATTAGCTGAGATTTTTACTTTGAAAGAAAATTAAATCTTATATTAATAATGATTACGTTCCAATTCAAGGAAATTGTTCGTTACGACACCTGATTTATTTTAAATTTCTATTCGTCTATTTATAGTCACCTGACTTGTCAGGTAGTGTTGTTAATTTGCTTGGTCGTAAAATTTACGACCCTTTTATGTGCTTAGGCCGACCCGTGGTTCGGACCCGATAGGGGGGGGGGTGTAAAAAATAATTTTTTTTGATATGGGTATCAAATAAAAGATAAATGAAATATTTTTTTATTATAATAATAATAATCACTCATAGAGGGCGGGTATAGGTCTTTGGGGGTCAGGAATATTTTTATCAACACAAAATATCGATATGGGTATCAAATAAAATCTAATTTAAATATCATTAGATTGAAAGTATTCATTTTTTGTCTTGATGGGTATGACTTGGTCTGGGAGGTGGGTGGAGGGGAAGGGGGGTCTAAAAAATAATTTTTTTGATATGGGTATCAAATAAAAAGTAATTATAATATTTTTTTATTGTAATAATATCCCCCCCCCTCTTTTTTTGTTTTTTTTCTCCTTATTACTAGCATATATAATATTGTTAAAATAAATACTTTATAAAATTTCTTTTTTAATAAATAATATTATATTAAGCTATAATTATATATATTATTTATTATAATCATTATTGAAAATATCAGCGTCCATTGTTTTTTTTAATGTATATATTTTTTTTAATATATATTTACATTTTGTAATTTTAAAAAATGGTTATTTATGCCACCTAGCTTATAAAAATATTATACTTAAATTTAATATTTAATTTAAAATATCTTAGACAATAAAAATATTAAAAATATTTTTTAAAAAATTTATATCAAAAATATATTTAAAAAATTTTTATCAAAATGTTTTTACAATAATTGTGGAAAGTTATTTAACTATACTATATAAGAAAAGAAAGTTATTACACATTATGAAAATGTGTTACAACAAATCATATTATTACCGTATAACCATATTAAAACATAATAATAATACTTAATATTATATAATAATCTAGTGAAGTGTTGTAATTATATATACATTCACGCCATTTATTTTTTTAATTCTCAAAGATATTAAATAGAGGAAAATAGAAATGAACAAGTCAAAGTAAAAATTTTTATATTTAATATTTTTTATAAACAAATCCCCCCCCCCCCATCATAATTTACCGTTACATGAAGTAAAACAAAATGCAACAAACGAGTAATAAAAGGGGGTAAACAAAATATTACATATTGAAATTAAATAAATGTATTTGGGGAATGCGGTTTAATCCGGTGGAAAATTTGAAGTGATAGAATTGTATTGTATGGGTTGAATCAGGCAAATTTTTTTTATTTTAATCATATTTATTTACAGATTCTATGAACATTATATCTCAATATTGATAGTAATCATAACTTACACTAAAGAAATTAAACTTAAAATCAGCCATCACCCACCTTTAAAGTAATTATATTATACTGTAGCTCTCGAATATAGGCTCTTTTTTTGCCCCACTCCTTTTTAAGTTTATTGAGGTTTAAGCAATATATTTTTCGGAATGTTGTGCCTACAAGTACGTGCGGCTTGCCCACAAATGTGTAGAGGGCTTTATACCCAAATTAAATTATTCCAATTAGATGGAAATGAAGAAAACCTAGCGTAGCTCTGTTTAACCTTCAACGCTAGAGGGCAAAAGCGCTATATATCACGCATCACGTAAATTAAATTAAATATAGATTCATTTCATGTTTAAATAATAAAAAGAGATTTATGTTGTAAATTTATAATTTGTGATGAAAATATCAAAGTCACATCTCACATGCGTTTTTTTGCATATATTAATATATTTTATAAAAATATTAAAATTTAGCAGAAAATGAGGTACAACTCATAAGATATTCTTAATTTCTGATTCATCTATCAGCATTGCTGAGATCGTCAAAAATGACGGGCAATGAGAATTTTCTCTTTACTTTTATAATAGTTGTTACCGGATATTTGAAAATAATATCCAATTTTTATTCGTTATAAACCCCTCCCCTCTTCAGGGCAGGTTCAATCCATTAAAACTAAGTGTAAATTATGTTTTAGTCAAAATATATTTAAAGCTTATACTGATGATACCTATATCAATATTTTTTGTTAAAATATTACTGATCATCTATGCCTAATATTTAATATTAAAAAAATTCCCAAGCAAAATCCAAGGCCATATTAAGTTTAAAAAAATTTCCCCAAGCCCAACCAAAAATCATAAGAATTTTGATAGTTGAGAACTGGAATAAAATATTTTAAAAAAACATAAAGAATTTAAAAATACGATCAAAATCAGATTTTATGGTCCTTAATTTTTGATAAAGCCAAGCCCAGGCCTGCAAAAAATTTTGTTTTAGGTCAATGTCTGATCCATAGTTAATAATAAAAAATTCTCAAACATTCAAGCTTATAATCATTTTTTCCCAAGCCTAGCCCAATATAATTTATAAAAACCTTTTCCAAGCCCAGTCCGATACATTATAATTTTAAAAATTTTTTCTCAAACCTTCCCTCGACAAATACAGCTGATAGAAATATTGAAATTCCTATTCAAAATCAAAGGATTTTCCACCCTGAGCTGAGCCTTTTATTCTTTTCATCCAATATGATTATTATCACAAATTAAAATTTACTCTAAATATTACAATAGAAAAAAATGGAATATAAAATTAAATTTAAGGCTGTTGTAAAATTACAATAGAAATAAATGGCAAAATTTTATGAAAATTGCATGGGACTTGGTTTTTTGATCAGGCCTGGTTATGTCAGCAAAAAAAAATTTTCAGACAGATACTACTCAACGTATAGGGATTTTCTAAATACCAACCTAATTTGGTAAATAACGACCAAAATTTATTAAAATATAATAAGACTTTTATTTATAAGAATAAATGATTTTAGATATAACTGTTTTTAAAAATTTTTTAACATTATATTTTTGTTAAAGATGCCATTTTATATCGGATCGGCAAATTTTATAATATTGGCCGATAACCGATATTTAAAATAGGTGAAATATCGGCCCGATTCGATCGGATAAAAAATATCGGTACATCCCTAGTTTTAAGTTAAGGATTGATACGGTATTGTCACGTTTTAATCGTGATAAAGAGGAATCTTATTTTAAAAAGCGAAGGTTTTGGCGGGGTACGTATTAGCCATTTTTAAGCAGGTATTATTTTGAATAAAAAAATCCTACTAAATTTATAAAAACAAGAAGTCACTAGTTTATCTTGGACCACTAATGACAATATGAAGATGATTGACTTTTTTTTGTAATTATATGACAGATTTAAGTGACAACAAGTATACTTCCAGTTCCAGGTGATATAGATGAACCCTAATAAATTTAACATATTTGACAATTTATTTTTACTTAGAATCAACACTTTTATATAAAATAATTTTAAAAATCTAAAAATAAAAAAGCGCTATGACACTTAACGTGAAAGGATAATAGGTACCCCGGGTGTTTTTACCTAAATTTTCATTTTTTTAAATTTCGCATTAATTAAAAACTAAATGATTTTTTCATAAATATTAATTTCTACCGTAGAGATATATGTAAAGAATAAAATTTCGTTAAAACATTTTAGAAAAATTGCTTTGTTCATTTTTTATAGCACTTCAATTTTTTATGGACAAACTGTCCCCGGTCTATTATATATTTATAGTTAATGACCAAGAATATTAACATTGGGGTGAAGTACGAGTACAAATATATTTATTTTCAATATTTGATTATAATAAAAATATATACGATAATATATAAAATACAATTTTAAGTAATTATAATATTTTTTCATTTTTCTTGATTGTGGATATAGATTTGAATTGACAGCCTAAAAAAATATCACATCTATATTTTAGATTTTAAAATCATGTACAAATATATAATTTAATTTTTTTATCGCATAAGAAAATAGGGGATTTTATTTAAAAAAATTAGCTACAGATACATAATTTTATTGTTAAAAATACCGAAAATATAAATTATATTTTGTTGCATGTGCGCTTTTGTACGCTATTATTTCTTAATATAATTTCTTAATATATTTAATCGATATTACTTTTTACACGTAATAATATATTATTGTATTTTATATACGAAGCCTTTAGCCACAATTTATTGACTATAAAATTGATTTAAGATAGATATATATATTTCTATTTTTTATGAAAACCATAAAATTGTATCACTTGTTTTTTTTATATATATTCGATGCTATTTTTATATAATAAAGTTATTCTAAATTGAACTGGAATCTAAAATACTTGCACCACCTGTTTATCCCATATTACATTCTTTGCGACCATTCTACTTCAATTATTATTCACAAATTGAACTTTTTTCTTCTTATTGAACATGGTGGAGGATAGGAATGATGTAAAGATCAAGGTATTGTTGAAAACGTTAGATTTGAAATTTCTTGCGGAGAACATTATAGATGAAGCTACAAAAAAATATAAATTATTCGAAACATTGGACAAAGAGATGGCTGTGAGTATCATGGATAACATTGATAATTTATCATATCAGCAAATGAAAGATTTAGTACAAAAGAAAGTCGGAAAGAACAAGATCACACGTATTTTGTTCAATACAAAACCGGACAGACTTGAGTCTTCCAGAGAGTATTTCGATAGACTGAAAGGGTATGGTTCGGGGCTCAATCCTGAATTTTTGTCGGTGCAATTTATGTTGAATTGTCGTAATGAAAAGCTAAAAACAAGGTTGATAGAAGAAAATACTACAGAGATTAATATTATAGAGGACATTGTTGTCAAATTTCAATCGTTGTAAATTAATAATAATAAAACATATGTAGAGAAAGATTCTTGGAGAAGAGAGGATAGAACCGATTGGCAAGGCTATTCATCTTGGAAAGAAAACAAGCAGACTTTCAAGGCCAACAACAACTACAACAATAACAACAACAACTACAATAATAATAACAACAACTACAACAATAACAACAACAACAATTTCAAAAAACAAGAAATTTTACAAACGCCATATAATTTGAGGCCAAGGAATAAGATAAATTTTATTAATGATTTTATGATTAATATGCAACTTAATAATCTTAATTTTTCTTTTTTGATAGATACGGGTTCTCCGGTGACATCCTTGCCCATTAAAGATTTTGAAAAATTGGAGAATTATGAAGAAATTGAGTTGGAAAATTGTTCTATAAAATTATTCTCTTATGAGGGTTCTCCTATCACAGTCGTTGGTCAGGTCTCGAATATTAAGGTTAAATATTTGAATACAATTAAATATTTAAATTTTTATGTATTGGATGAGGAGGGACCACCTCTTTGTGGTCAAGACTGGATTAAAGAATTTGACATAATCAAATTCAACGTTGATGTAAACACTATTATAAATAATGAGATAGGAGATAGAGTGAATTTTTTAACTCATAATAATCCGTTATCGGTTCGATTAGGAATCGGTTGATATAAAAAAAAAAATAAATAAATAAACAATTTTTTTTAAAGACAATGACTGTGATTTGCTACCTAAAATTAAAAGAATAAAATTTAGAGAATTAACAATTAGCAATTCTGTTTTTTTTTCTAAATGGGCTCCAATCAAGAATGGCGTGTGGGGATTGTCATTGGGAGAATTAGTAACGTCATTTGGGAAATTCAGGTAGATGATAAGTTTTTCTTTGTTCATATTGATCACATTAGAAATTATTAATAGGAATACATTGCATTATATTTTTACTTTTATATTGTTGGTTACAAATATATCTTTCCTAGTTGTGATAATTTTGATGAATAAGTTACCTTGTTAATAATGACAATAATTTCCCCTTCCCATTTGTAGTTCCTACTATCCCCATATATATATGATTTGTTATGTAATTCCTTGTTAATCTTAATGTAAGTATTATTTTGATATCATTATTGTAACATTTTGGGTCGTTAATTATAATTGTTTTCTATTATAATACGTTTTTTTTCTTTTTATATTTTCTTTTCATCACCATCTCCAAATTTTTATCATGTATTTTAATTATTGTTTTTTTTTAAAATAATTTTCTTCATTATATTAATTCCAAATATATTTATTGTTTATTGGCCACCTATAGTGTGAATTGTACCTATCGATAGTGTAATTTATACCTTTTGTAAGGGTAATTACATAAAAAACTATCATGTACAACTATGGTGACAATTCACCTTTATACATATATTTTCATTCTTAAAAATAAATTACCTCTCGCATGCTTAACGAGTTCTTTCCTTCCCCATTTTTTTTTTGTACCATGTTGTGTTTTCAAGACTTTAATTTTTTTTTTTGTATTTTTTTTGGAGGGAGTGCATGTTGCATGTGCGCTTTTGTACGCTATTATTTCTTAATATAATTTCTTAATATATTTAATCGATATTACTTTTTAGACGTAATAATATATTATTGTATTTTATATACGAAGCCTTTAGCCACAATTTATTGACTATAAAAATTGATTTAAGATAGATATATATATTTCTATTTTTTATGAAAACCATAAAATTGTATCACTTGTTTTTTTTTATATATATTCGATGCTATTTTTATATAATAAAGTTATTCTAAATTGAACTGGAATCTAAAATACTTGCACCACCTGTTTATCCCATATTACATTCTTTGCGACCATTCTACTTCAATTATTATTCACAAATTGAACTTTTTTCTTCTTATTGTACATATTTTAATTAAGTATATTAATATTCGTCCTCTAGTTGATTAAATTAAACAAATCCGGACAGAAAGTTTATATCTAATTCTGAACTAGGATCAGGATGGTATAGCTAGTAATCTCTCAACTAACCTACATAATAATTCATTTTAATCCTATTTGATATTTCTCAGCCCTAAGTAAGTGGTCCCGATTAAAAATATTTATAAGCTGAGTTGCTTGCATGAACTATTTAAATTTTATTGATAAATATTTTTTATTTAAAATATTTAAAACAACATTATTCATCTGGACCCCGGGTCTGTGCTTTGGGTTCGTGTTAACGCTGGCTTATTTCTTATATAAATATTGCTAATGTAAATTGTCTTGATTGATGGAGTCAATCACGAGGAAGAAGACGAAAGCCAAAAATTAAAAAAAAAATATTTGTTTTCTTGGTTTCGTCGACTCATTATGATTATATTTTTTTTCGTTAATAGTAAAAATGTTATGGCCTTATTTGGCAATGTTTATTTTTTTTTGTTGTAAAAATTGAATCTATTTATAAAAAGTTTTTTTTAGAGCTTCCCTATAAAAGGGAAGCCAAAAATCGGATTGAGATAATTAAATAATTATTTTTTTTTAGTTTATAATTTTCATTTGTAGATTTTAATTTTATAAAATTATTCATTTTTTTTGTGTGGGAAATTCAATAAAATTATTATACTCGGAGTTTTGCTTTCTACCCGGACTTATACGGCACAACGTAATATAAATAAGTAGTGATTTTATTAAACCCAAACCCCGGGTTTGGGTTTTACACAACCAACCAATTAACAACACTACCCATATCGATATTTTGTGTTGATAAAAATATTCCTAGACCCCGCAAGACCTAGACCCGCCCTCTATGAGTGATTATTATTATTACAATATAAAAATATTTTAATGAACCTTTAATTTGATACCCATATCAAAAAAAATTATTTTTTACACCCCCCTCCCCTCATGGGTTTTAACCTCCTACTCCTTGCCTAAAATACTTGTTTAATTTTTTTTTTTTAAATATATTTTTATTCAATTATAAAATTTCTTTCAGTAGAACATTCCTTGAGTTGAGTAATCATCATTAAGAATATACCCTTGTTCTGGGAATATAGATGCCAATGCTAAATAAAATCATGGAGGAGAAGGGGCGGGGTGGAACCAGTAATGGGGTCTTACTCTTATTGCTATCATATATAATATAGTAATAATCTTATATAATTTATTTATTCTATTAAATGAAAGGAACACGATTTGACTAGTAATATAGTAAAACCTTTAACGAATGACAGGTAACATAATTTTTTTTTTGTCCTAAAATATTTATACAATATATATTGTTTTTATTGCCATTTGGGCAAAGGCGTCATTAGCCTTTACAAATCTCATGGGGTACTCAGAAATTATTTTTTCTATAATTATTTTTAAAATGACTTTATTTTTTATCTTAACATTTTTTTAAAATGACCATCTTCGGGGGTCTAAAAAAAGTTTCGAAATTTTCAGTGGGCTCGAGTTCCTAAGATCTCTGTCCTAGTGAAACGAATGCTTTTGGAATGACACCTCGAAATAGTTTTGTTGAACGTTTAGGGTTTTCAAAAATGGCTAACCCAATATTTTATGGCCAAAATATAGAAAAAGCCTCCAGATTTCTTTTAATAGATGCCCAAACCTTTCTAGTAAAAATCCGCAGGCTTGCTTGCTAATATTATTTTTTTTAGCTATATTGGGTTTGGCCGTTAAACTGAACTACCTCGAAAAAAGTATGATCCTGAAAGTCAGAATTTAGATCCAAGAATTACGAATAACGCCTGGCCTAATTTTTTTTTTAGAAAATATAAAATCTTATTTCATTAAAATTAATATAATTTTGAAAAGAAATGATAAAACACTTAAATATTAAAACAACAATATATGTTTAACCTTATTAAATATTCTTTTTTTTTAATATAAGACAATATAATTAATATTTGTATATATATTTATATACATATAAAAAAAACATTTTAAAAAAATAAATAAATATAGTATTGGAGATATGTTTGTGACGGTGTTAAAAAAAAAATAAAAAAAAATATATTGAGATTAGGAAGGATAATCTTGTGGGGAGAGACTGCTTATGAAGCTAATATAATTAGCCTTGTGTATTGCGATGGAGAGCCTTTGCCTTAAGAAGAAGCCCTCGCGGGGTTCACCGGTTAGTTGACGAATGTGGGAGCCGAGTTCCTTGAAAAAGGATAAGGCATATTTCCCAAAAGTAGTAAGGGTAGTGGAAATAATGGGGATGAAAATATATTCTTGAGAGATTTCGGAATATTTCGTTATTTTGAGTGTCTCCTTTTTCTCGAGTATATTGACTGTTTGATTTGATGGAGCGAGTGGATCAATACAAGAGTAGTCCCAGACCAGGAATTGACCGCGCTTCCAAGGAATTTGCGAAATATCGTCAGGCCGTTTCCCATCAGATCTGAAAAGACTGGATGGTTCAAGAGTGGAGGGGATTTGAGCAGATCTAAGAGCTCTAAGAATGATCGAATTGCATAGATTATGTCTTACAATTCGCCCTTTACATGAGCGACAATGAAGACTATGTCTTCCATTGCCCAAAACTGCGGAGCCGCAACCTGAACATATATGGGGTTGGGTAATAAGGCAATTTAAACGGATACCGATTGCATGTGTGAGCTCGTTTTTATTTAGTTGTAATTGCAGATCTTATTAGTTTAATAAATAATTGAATCATTAAAACATTAATTTTGCTTTTATATATTTCGATTTTTCGCATTGAAACAAAAAATATATCATTTATAAAGTACAGCCAAAACTATTTCGAGTAAACCAGATTTTTTTCAAAAAAAATTATGCATGCCTTCACTAGATAGAAAAGTAATTGAATTTTATATGGGCCCGAAAATTGGCATAGCTCTGTACATTCCTTGAAACGTATTAAGCTTATGAAAGAAATAATTTACCAAATGTAGATTAATATTGTATCGTAGGTTCATTGTATCGATCTTAGGAATAAGACTTCCGCAGTGCAGGCCACACATGATATATCTTCCCTGCAATTTAAGCATAATCTTTAATAACACGTTGGTCATAGACCTGCCCAAATGTGAGCGTACTTGAATTATATGAAGGCCCATCTTCCATATAATTATGCTGATTTTTTTACTCAAGGATACCAACAAACCTTGTAAGTTGTAACCCAGAATTAAAGTAAAAAAGGGTGGGACTATATTCCAGCTATTTGTATATTTTAGTAATGAGTATAGCAAAGGAAAGGACAGAATAAAAGAATAGAAAAAAGTTCCTTCTTCCAAAAAAATTATTAATATTATTATTTTTTATTTGAGAATATTAAATATAAATTATTTAAAAATGATAAAAAATACTTAAAGATTTCCAAGTTATAGGTTTAAATCAATAGGTACTAGACGATAAATTTTAAAATAAAATAAATTTATTTATTTACGATATAAAAAGTGATTATTATATTAATATAAAAAATGGTTAATGAATTTGTAAATAAAATTTTAATAATAAAATTAATTATATAAATTAGTAATATTAGGGTAATGAATTAGAAAGTAGTTAAGTAAATAAATAATATTAAAAGAGAATTAAAAAATGGTGGATAATAGAAGATATATAATTTTAGTAGAAAATTAGTAATAAAGCATGATCTAAATATAGTAATAAAAAGAAAAACGTGTTTTGGAAAATGTAGGTTTTTTGTGTAAAAAATAAATAAATAGTATTCTAAATTAGAAAAAAATTCATTTATTTTATTGTTTATTTAAAATTCAAATTTAAGAAATAAAAATTTTTTGGTAAGGTAAAAAAAAAATAAAAAGAAAAGATGGAGGATAAACTCAAAATTTAAAAAAATAAAATAATATATATATTTTTTTTTTCTTATTTGGATCCAATAATGATAATGAATTTTGTAGAATTGGCATCATTAATGTGAGAAATATTTAGTTTCAATTTTCCTAGATTAAATTATAAAATTTATAATATAACTTGAGTCAAAAAATTTCATTGTAACATATTTCCATACATTTGTTTATAATTTTATTAATATCTAATGTATTTGTCATTTCTGTCCATATGATCTCCAAATCTCAAATAAGCTTTTAAAGTCTGATTGTTCATTGCAAATTTAACCCAATTCTCAATAATCTGAACCCGAATAATCATCATTTTCAGAATCATAATCTATATCAAATTTATTAAATATTAAAGTCACAATTTTTTCATAACATATCTTCCATATCCAATATCTTATAATCTTGCTCACATTTCATCTGTTATTGTATTGTAATCGCCTGTGTAACAAATTTAAGAATTTATTTAGCATCCAAAGTAAATATTTTCAATTTCAACCAGATGATTTGTCCATGTATCAAATTTATTAAATATTAAAGTCACAATTTTTTCATAACATATCTTCCATATCCAATATCTTATAATCTTGCTCACATTTCATCTGTTATTGTATTGTAATCGCCTGTGTAACAAATTTAAGAATTTATTTAGCATCCAAAGTAAATATTTTCAATTTCAACCAGATGATTTGTCCATGTATCAAATTTATTAAATATTAAAGTCACAATTTTTTCAAACCAGAATAACAGCTTGTTCTATTTACGTGATACGTGATATATAGCGCTTCTGCCCTCTAGCGTTGAAGGTTCAACAGAGCTACGCTAGGTTTTCCTCATTTCCATCTAATTGGAAAAATTTAATTTGGGTATAAAAATAAAAGTATGAGGAGCCCTCTACACGTTTGTGGGCAAGCCGCACGTACTTGTAGGCACAAAACCTCTATAGTCTTATTAGGAGTGGGGCAAAAAAAGAACCTATACCCGAGAACTACAGTATAATTTAATTACTTTAAAGGTGGATGATGGCTGATTTTAAGCTTAATTTCTTTAGTGTAAGTTATAATTACTATCAATATTGAGATATAATGTTCATAGAATCTGTAAATAAATATGATTAAAATAAAATATTTACCTTTCCAATTTAATTATAAATGAGAATCCTTGAATGCTATTAAACAATGTTTAGGATAAAATGTGATAGCAGCTGATTTCAAATATATTATTCAAATTTATAAATAAATCTTTTTTTAAAAATAGAATAAACAAATATTGATAACTAACGATAACGAATACTTCATATTCTAATGTGAATGTCATTTAACCATAATCATTAAAGAAAGAAAGAAAGAAAAAGAGAGGGAGAGAGAAAGATTATTGTAATAATTCACATAAATATTATACTACATGAATTAATTCTTTCCTTTTAAGGCAAACTGACTTGAAATCTACAATTTTGAATCTGATATACATAATATCTCCACTCATCGACAGATCTTTCCAAAGAGGATTTCAATGGTAAATTTTAAACATATATATTTAGGATATTTAAAAGTCGTTGTTCACTTTTGCGAAATAATGATTATTTAAATTGGTGACATTATTTGCATATTTTTTTAAAGTGAATTTTGATATTCCCAATCTTTAATTTAATCAATTTAAAAAAAAAAAAATTACAAAATTACTTCAAAAACCTCCCTTGGTAAAAAAGATCTGGAGAGGGCATAGCATAACCGAACATGGGGCTCAGAGGCATTTATAAAATAGCGGTTAGAAAGGTGAGATTCAAAGTGCATTAAAGATTAACGACATGAGATATTAGACAAAAATCTTATATCTCTTATATCTAAATCTTATGATTTTATTTGAGAAAATGTAGACTTTTTTGATTAGATTTCTTCAGGGTTAAACTGAATTTAAGATATATTTTAGAATAAATGAAAGCCTTCTCTAGCCACATTGGCTTATATTTTGATATAATGATAATATAACACGCTAATATTATTGTTATTAGCTTGGCTTGGAAAGGAATGCTTTTTATAGATAATTTGTTATCAATCCATCTTTATTATAATTTATTTTTTTAAGTTAAATCATTAATCTGAAGCATTTTTCGATATCTCAGCTTCTGTTTCAACGTGCCCCTGGAGGGTTATTTTGTGCCCCATATTTTTTTTACAGTCCTAAAAGATTATAATAATTTAGAAAACCTTAAAAATATTTTGTAGGTAAGAAGAGTTTAACGCAATTACTTTTTTAAAATTTTGGTCGATTATTTTGGTTAATTATAAAAAATCCTTTGAATGAATAAATGAATGTGAATATCTTTTATATCCATTTTATACTTTTTAAAGGTGTATGAAAAAGTTGATAGAATCACCCAATTTTAATATATCGGGCATAGAAATGTTTAAAGCCTGGTGGTACATCAAAAATTACAATTTCGTCAAGGTAATATTTGTGGGTGTTTATAATAATATATATGCCATATTTACGATTTACACACTAGTTTTATTTTTTTTTAACCATTATTATTATTAACAAGTCATGGCAGTAACTCATTTTCAATCTTTTTAAATTCCGATTATTATAAAAATTACAAACAAATATTTGTAAGGGTGAAATGATTACATATAAATTAAATACCTTATCACGACTCTTCATTCATTCATTAAAATCTGTATCTATACATCAGCTGTTGGCGCCTTATTTAAATTTTTTATTTCACACAAATTAATCGTGGGCTATCATCTGAACTAATTAAATGTGAGATTAAATTGTCAACTAACTTAATCCCGCCCGTATAACAAGATAGGAGTAAAATTTTGTTGATAATGAACATATATACAAAAAAATATTTAATGCAATCCAATAATAACATTATCTTACTATGATGATTTACCTGAATACAAAATTACCTTTTATTACATTTGATGTCATATTAATTGCTTCCTTATAACGTTTGTTTAGAGAAAGAATGAAAGAATGAAAGAAAGAAAGAAAGAAAGATATTATGAAAGAAAGAAAGAAAGAAAGAAAGAAAGAAAGAAAGAAAGAAAGAAATCTTGAAAGAAAGAAAGAAAGAAATTTGAAAGTAAAGCCCGAAAGAAAGAATTTATTATAAAAAAAAAATAATCAGTGCAAATATACGATACAATGATATTTTTATTTCATGTAAATATATTCTATTCTCTAGTATTTATTTTTAGTTACATCATAAATAAGTTATAAAGTAACTTATAATGTAACTAGTTACTTTTTAATATATAACTGTAACGGTAATAAGTTATGTTTAAATAAATTATAAGTAGTAACTGTTACTAGTCATGTTCCAAAAGTAACGTTTAGCAGCACTATGAGCGAAAGAACAAAAAAATGTTAGGTATTATTTTTAAAAAAAAGTAATGTACCGCTAATCACAGTTTATGGTATAATACAAGTCTATTAATAGGGTCTAATTTACAGCGTAAGAGCTTTAATGCTAACGTTTGAAATAAACACTGAATCGTCCCTCATACTCGTAAAATGCAATTAGGCCCTGTTAGGAAATAAAAAACTTTTCTTTTTTTTTGTATTTTAAGATAATTTTATTTATTACTTAATTTTACTCTTAAAATTTTTATGGAAAATTATTTATTTTGATCAAGGCTGCAGAAATTTACAAAAATATACTTGACGAAATTTTGAAGGATAATGATTGTAAGAAAGATGAAAGTACATGGAACACTCTAAAAATAGCTGGATTAAATCTATCATTTTTATATATCATTGTAAGTTTTTTTTTCCTTATTATCTCCCATATATATATATGTTTTTTTTCACTTCTAATTTACTTTATTTTTCGTTTCTATTTTTAAAAATATATTGGCGTTCATGTTCATCTTGTTTTTCCTATTCCTCCTTTCATTCGATCTTCCCCCATCCCCAATTACATCAACTTTTAATTTAATTTATTTAGCGTCAAGATTATAAGAAGGCTGAAGAATGTTTGGAAAATATATTAAGAACACACGGAGATTTCCCACAAGGTTTGTTAGAATTTAAAAAAATAAAATAAACACATTAAGAGTGCGTCTAAACTAAAGTCAAAAAAAAATTCATTTTTTTTTTAAAAATAAATGATTCTCGCATTTATAAAATATCAATTTATTGTGGAAGTAGAATAGGAAATAAAAGAAAGAAAGAAAGAAAGAAAGAAAGAAAGAAAGAAAGAAAGAAAGAAAGAAAGAAAGAAAGAAAGAAAGAAAGAAAGAAAGAAAGAAAGAAAGAAAGAAAGAAAGAAAAGAAAAAAAGAAAGGAAGGAATAAAATGGTGAACAGGCTGTTTTTCTGAAGAGAATAAGAATTAAGAACAAAAATTAAGTAGAGCTAGGACAAGGTCTCATCTTCTTTTGAACCATAAATGATTAAAATATTTTATTAAAGTTTGTTCGTCTACATTGTAAATTATTTTAAAAAAAATATTTTTTTTGTTCTCTTAAGCGCTGATAAACAGAGGTAACGTCCACCTCTATAGTAACCAAACTGAGAAAGCGATTGAATGCTACGAAAAAACTCTTAAAGTAATAATAAAAACATCTAATCCAAACACCAATAATACTGATAGATTGAGTCAAAAACTCCCTGAAACTGACCGACAGGTATGGCTCAGAGCTAAATTTAATTTAGGGTTAGCGTATAGGAAACTAGAAAATTTTGAGAAATCCGTCAAAAATTGGGTTGAATTGGAAAAGGAGGAGGCAATTAATTCTATCCAAGAAAACGATGATGATTACAATTATGATTCCAACGATGAAAATGAGTACAATGTTAATACTTTGACCGAACCCAAAAACGTGGATAAAATAGTCAAACAATCTATTGGAATTCTAGAGGTCAATGATCAAATGGGACTGACGTATATGAATATGCAAAGCCAGGGATTCGAAGATATGTCCCAACAGGCACTTAATTGGTTTTATTTTTGTTTTTTTTTATCATTATAAATTTTGAAGAAATATTGTAAAACAGATGAGTTGGTGTCACTCTCTTTCTATTAAGGCGTGATAAACAAAGGTGTTGCACCCTTATGCTTATTCTAGTGACACCTTTGATACTTGTTTTAATATTCGTGTTGATAATTGTTGACATTAAAGATAGACTATATTCCTTAAATGTAAGTATGACCCAGGTCAGAATTTCTAATGTCTCATAAGATACGGATTTTAATGTAAAAATTAAAGAATACTTCAAATATCTCTATAACATACAAATCATAACTATATGACGATGTAGCTATCTAAAGAATTTAAGTATATACCCTTCAAATCCCGATACGTTAACCAAACTAGCTCAAATATATGATTATGAAGGGCTGAATCCCGCTCACGCTAAATCACGGGCCTTCGATTTCTACAGCGAGGCTCATAAATTCGCTCCGGCGGATTTGACAGTCATCGAATGGCTAGCGGGATATTATCTAACTGAAGATGGCCACCACGCTACAACCGTTGCTACGCCTTTGATCGAAAATGCTATGACTTATTTGACCTTGGCTAGCAAATTAGAGTTTATTTAAATTTTGAATTGTTTAAGCGATTTAGAATTTAAGCGATCAGTTTGAGTCTGAAGCACCTGTCCAATTTGATGTGCTCGCCTTAGAAAAATTCTAGTTAATATTAATCAGTCAATCGAATAAATCGTATAATGAGAACATCTTTTTAATATTAACTTCTTTTTATTTTGATTAATCTACTTTATATGCTCAAGGAAAATAATCTAATCTTTTCTTCTAGTTGGAAGACATATACCTATTATGCAGTGATTAAAAATTTCTACAAATTCTTTTTTTCATTGTTTTTTTTGTTTGATTTATTTATATTGATAATACAAGCATATAACTATGAATTATTTTTGAAAGGCCTGACGAAATAAAGTGGGATTTGGCATTGGCTAGTTGTCATAAAAAATTAGGCGAGATGAAAGAATGCTACGAAATTTACAGGAACGCTCACAGAAAATATCCCAGAAACGTCGAATGTAAAAAAAAAATGATAAAAACATCGATTTGATCTTTGTTATAATAACTTTAATAATCCTTTTCTCTCTTTTTTTTGTAAGAAAAGATTTTAAAAAAAATTATTAGAAATTAATAAGAAATTTGTATAGATTTTTAGGAACCTGTCGGGATCAAAGTTTCCAGGAATGGGACGTTCCACTCCATGTTCCTTGCAATAAATATTTGGTGTTAAGCTCATGATTATTAGTATCTATAAATAATTTATTTAAAGATTGTTGAAAGTTTTTCTTTCGTTAAAAATTACCGAATGTTTTTTGAGGGTATACTCGATATTTATATAAATAAAAAAATTTTGAAAAAGCCCCAAAAAATTTCTTCTATATTTTTTGTTTTTGTTTTAAGGTTTGACATTATTGACCCGTTTGAGCAAAGAATGGAATCCGGAGGAATATTACGTCTACGAAACCGAGTTGAAAGCTCTAGAAAATTCTTCGAATTTAAAAGTTATTCTTATATTTTAATAAAAATTTACATATCTTTCTTCGTGGATTATTACAGCATTTTCTCTCCAAATTTGGTTTTATTTTTTTTAGTACAATATAGTTAAACCCAAGCCTTTAATTAAAATGCTAAAAATTTTAGGTGTTTATATATATATCAGAGTAGAGGTACCATTTGCACGGCCCGGCCCGCGTTTATATTATCGACCCGGCCTGACCCCGTTTTAAAAATAATATATTATATAATATTTTTAATTTCTTATAGCTAATAATGGTGATTTAAAATATTTAGTTTGGCTGGCCCGGCCCGATTTGAAATTTATATTATCAGACCCGGCCTGGCCCCGTTTTAAAAAATAATATATTATATAATATTTTTAATTTCTTATAGCTAATAATGGTGATTTAAAATATTTAGTTTGAAAATATATGGCTGGCCCGGCACAGGTATTTTTTTTTTAAATATTTTTTTGCCCGGTCTGCCTATATTTATACTTTAAGACCGGGCCGGACCTGCAGGTTTTTGACATAAACATGTCTAATTTTGGCTCTTGATTCAGGTAACTAACTCCCCAATTTGGCTAAATTTTTTTAGTCCCGATCAAATTCCTATTAATTATTATGTATTAGAAAATGTTTTGATAAATTTGGCACCTGTCTAATTTCCAAATTAGACAAGTTTTATATTATAACTCAAACATTTAGAAAACTATGCCTGGAGAAGAAGAACTCGAAGTAACACAGGACTTTTTGTTTTAGTTATTTTTTAAAAATTTCTTGTAGGGAAGCAATAATGTTATAAGAAATAATAGCGTAACAAAAAAACGGGATAGTTTTATCTAATCACATACACTACCTTAGACTGACGATTTATTCATTTAAATGCCCATCAATACAAATCAGCTGATAACACGCCATTTTGGTTTCCCAAATTAAATAATTTACATTGACATTTTATGACTTAAATGGCGTCACAAGCTGATTTGTATTTAAGCGATGCTTCAAAATCTATTGTGGTCTGGTCAACTTCTTTAACGCTGCGTTTAAAACGTTTTTAATGTTAAAAAGATAGAAGATAAAATTTTAACTTTTTACATTACAAGCGTTTTAAAAGCAGCGTTAAAAAGGTGAACTAAGGCCAAACCTTATTTGGATATTATTCTCATCCTTTCTACTTCCATCTACAATGTAATAAGTTTCTATTTAAGCATTATCATTTAATTCGGATTTTTTTTAGATTCAGAGAAGTGCGTCACTGAAAGATGCTAAATTAGATTCAATGAACCAAGCTTACACTGGTCCAGAGATTGAAGAATCTTCTACTCTACCTCAAATCAAAAATAATATGAGTTACAACGCGGAAAAGAATGAATCCAACAGAGATGGAGGAAAGATCAGTGAAAAGAGTTCGAAGGAAAGCGGAGATGATGATAGCATATTAGAATTGTTACCCTAAAAAAAAATACAATATATAATTTTGTATATTATTTATATTTTTCTTTTCAAAAAATTTATAGTGCTTATCCCCATTCAAATGAATTTAGATTGTAAATTTGTCTATAAGTGTTAAATTTTACGATTATATTATGGTCCATTCCTTAGTCAGATGGTGTCCCTTTTAAAGACACGTGACTTTAAAAAAAACTTGGCGTTATTAATTTTTAAAAAGTCAACTCTGTATGTGAAAAAGAATAAGTCATTATTAATCATACATTCATTTTATCATTTCTTTCATACACATGACAGACTAAAACTCCATTTTTTTTTGCCCATTCTTTTTCTTTATATCAATTTCCCTATAATTCCTAATAGATTAATAAATTCTTTATGAGCACATTTCGTCGAATCAAGCAAATTTGGGCCGAAAATTTATTACCTTTATTTAAAAATTAAAACTATGACAAATTTAAATAGATTTTATAAAATTTAAATATAACATCGTAGGAAAGAGTATAATAATTTTGGCTATATATTAAAGATATATCACATAATCGCAATGGCAAAAATGTCAACGGATTTTCACGACTTGATCTTTTATCGATTGGCACATGCTTTCAGTGTCAGGAAACTAAATGGGGATTCATATATTTTAGATATTTATTTTAAAAAATTTATTCAAGCTCGATATATTAAAATTTTTAATTCATAAAAATGAAAAAAAAGGGAAAGAAATAGTTTTAAAAAAAAATAATATGGTGGATAAATAAAATTTTAAAAAAATTCAAAGAAATGTTATTATTTTTCCTTCCTTCCACCTTTCTACCCTACATTCATCCATCCATTATTTCCTGTTTAAGAAATGTTAAAATCAGGTTAAAAATAAAAATTTAAGAAAGAAAAATAGGAGATGATCATAAATAACCATATGAAAGGGTTTTAAGGCCGATATGCCAAGAATTTGTTCCAATTCATGTTTGGGATAGATGGAGTTAAACGCGCGAATCACGTGAGGCACGAGGTATTCTACAAAGGCCTCCCGCATTTGGCTCAGTGTGACCAAGTCGTCCGAAGTTGTACGGCCACTATAACTTGTTTTTGTATTCTCTCTTTAAGACGAATATATTATTTTAAAAATAAATAAATATGGATGATTTTCATATGTAGAATTATTTTCAAGTTCACTCTAATTAACGTTTCATTTGCGCATTCGAATTAGACAATAACCTTCAAGCATTCAATCAATTTTATTTTTCAGTAGGGAAATATTTTCGAATTTCCGATTATTATTTTTGCCTAGTTTGAAATAATCACCTTTTATTAAAAAACATCCTTTAAAATTTTATATATGTCAAATGGATATCATCGCAATCATTAGCTACGATCGTGAACACAACAATGTCAAAAAAGAAGAAATGGAAACATATTTTTTCAGAGGATTTTTATCTTTCAACCACTCAAAATTTACTCAGCCGATTTATGATAAAAGAAATGCAGTTATGACCATCACCAACCTAAAAAAAAAGCGTCTTCTATATTTGACTCGAAAATCGATATAAAAAAACCCCCCTAATATAAAGACAGTGTGAAACCTATAAAATTGATCAATTTGTTCCCAACATTTAACCATTGTCTCTAATAACTTGTCCTTGCAGAGGGGATAGGTGAAGGCAAAGGACGTATTAGAATCCGAGCGCAGCAAAGATGATGATTCGAGCACTCTACCCAATTCTTTACTCAAATTGTTCAAGAGAGGTATGGAATTCATCATATCGACATTGGAGCTAACACTATAAGCGCCGCTTTTCTCGTGATTGTCGGTTACCGAGGGTTTAGCGGTTGGCAAGACATCCGCGGACGCGGTTTCTTCTAATTTTTCGGGAATCGATTCGTTATTATCCTCAAACGTGTTTCCATTTCGAGATGTACCCTCGGAAATCTCCTCAAAATCGCCATTCGAAATATTTTGGTTGCTGAAATCGGAAACTATTTGATCAGTTACGATGGGTTCGGCGATATTTGAATCATGCAACTTCGGTGATGTACTAAGTTTTGACCTGACTTCTCGAGTACGGGCATCAGGGTAGTCTTTCTGGCGGAGATTTCTTTTGGCACTAACTTGCAAAAGTAATGGGATTTTTGTTGCAAATTTGAAACGAATCTATTGAAATTTTACGATTTTTATTTTGAATAAAATAAATTAGAGTTGTCTAATTTTTTCTTTTCTTTCTTCAACTGCAAGACGTTATTATTTTACTATTCCAGAAGTGTTGTTTATTTTTAGTATTTTTTAAAAAAAGTTATATTTAAATATATATGGCATTTTATGTTGTAAAATATCATTCCAAACTTAAAGTGTAAGATGATACTTTTTACAAGATACAATGTTATATATATATATACTGCTATAACTAACTTTCTTAAAACATCGTCAAACATACGAGAAACGTATGACGTAGCGTATTCACACAATTTCTGCATGAGTAAATGTCCACAATCCGCGTTTAACTTAGACATGGTCATAGAAAAGTAATCAAATTGATCCGCCAGACTTCTAAAAGCTAATCCGAGTTCGGATTCGGATATCAAATTGCGGTTTTTATCGAATAGTAACCCGGTTTGGTAGTCGATTAATGTTAATGCGTTTTGGAGCTTTTTTTTGTTTTATTTTAAGGTTGATAGCACTTATAATAAATATGAATAAATATACTTTTCTAATATTCTTGTAACTTATATCATTTTCATTTTCGAACCCAAAAAACTGGCTCAGATATTTTTCCTTTCTTTCTTTCTTTAGAAATTCGTTTTTCGAATATGTTAAGCAAAAATTACCTAAACCTAATTTCGGGTTCGTAGCCATGGGCTTCTTTCTTTCCTTGTGTAGAGATATTTCATCAATTTTTTTTTGTTTACCAACCAATACCTGATTTAAAAATAAATAAATTTATCAAAATAACTTCGAATGCTAGCCATGAATTGGAGATGCGATTGTAAGTTTCTTTTCTGGACATCGCCTATTTCAAAATATAAGCATTTGAAAAACAAATTAATTTTTTTGAAAACAATTTCGAGGTTAGAGTCCGCTCAAGATCCAAGTTCGAAATCTGACCGAGTGGAACCGAACCGCGTTCGGCCTGACCGTGCCAAGATCGAAACGGACGTCCTTTCGGATCCGGTCTGAGACATACAATACTAACTAGATCGATGATTTATTAATATAAATGTGTTTATCAGAATAAATCAGCTGGTATCACGCCATTTTGGTTTCCGGTGCCTAAATAATTTATAAATTTTATAGGTGTTGTAGTTTAAGCTAGAAATTAGCTCAGTACAATTACAATGCTTGATACAAGAATTAAACGTGAACAAAGATTTATTTAGTAAAACAAATAATCAAAATTAAATTATATAAAAGAAGTCGTGATAATTCAAAAGGAGGTTTTTTCGTGTAGTATTTTTGATATATATATTCAATCAATTTAGAAATATATTATTATCTAACAAAAAGAAAGTTAATATATAATTTTTACCATTATGTTAACTAATAGTCGCAAATATATAATATTACTACAATAGGAAACCAAAATGGCGTATTGTCAGCTGATTCTTATTCAATAACGCTTATGAATGAATCGTCAATCTAGATAAATATTATATGCGGGACCTAGGTTATTTTAAAAAAATATTTTTCGGGCCATAGACAAAATTCTTAAATAATTTTTGTTTTCCTAGTGATGTTTAATTTTTTATTCTTCGGTTAAATTTTTAAAATAACAAGTCGGAATGTCTTCGAAAATAGTCTGATTGACCGGAAATAATTTTATTTTATTTCAGGATCGGGCCAAATCTTGTAAAAAATGAGGTGCGATTAGAGGCCAGGACTCTAGTATAAAAATCATATATCTAAATTATACCCTAGTATCATCGCTTTGAGAAAAGGAAGTAGGAGTGAACGAACGACTATTCGAATCCTCTTCGAGAGAAAACAGGGCCGAATATTGAGTTATCGTTTCGAACAAGTGAATCCTCAAGGTTTCGCATACCCGATTAGCGAAAAGGTAATTAAGGGGTTCCGAATGACTTTTTATAACGTGCGGACATTGATTATATAATATATTATCGACTTCTTCCTAACTCTTATTACTACATTTGTTTTACCCTAACCCCCCCCCCCATACTTCCGTTCTCTGCTTAAAATATATTGCGTTATTTTATATATACTCTCTGGTTAATTTTTTCAAATCGTTCCGCAGTGCCCGGCTAGCTCGGCTCAAAAATAATAACCTAATCGCCTTCTCACTGAACACTCCCGCAGCTCGTAAAAGACCCACGCGCTCGATCGCTTGAGCCAAGGTAGGCGAATCACTAGTTAGATTCGCGGAGAGGCCGCGTATAAGTGACTGGTAAGTGCATAGGGAGTCATTGTACACGAGCTATAAAAAAAACAATTTTGTTTAATTATTCTAAAACGTGCATTTGATTTATAGTTTTTAAATGAGTCAAAATCAGAAGACGTTTTTTATATTATGCTACCTGATGCCAAAAATATGGGCCGATTCTAGGGCTGTGCCGATATTTAAGATCGGATCGACACCGATATTTAGCGTTCCCAAAAAAATATCAGATCGAGCTGATATTTAATAAAAAACTAGATCCGATCTGAGCTTTTAGTGTTTTTGGTAATTTTAATATTTATTTTTATAAATAATTTCTTAATAATATCAATTGAAAAGGAACTAAAATACAATTTATAAAAAAAAGAGTTAAAAATTTTTTGCTACATTATCTGCAACAAGAATGGGATTTTAAAATATCTTACGTGAGCCACATTCAGCTAACGGTTCGATTTTAGATAATTTTTAAAAAAGGTTTAATTCAAGATTTTGGCAAAAAGTAAATTACTCGAATTTTTTTATTTTGTCCACAGATGACCGAAAGATTTTTAGCTTATAAAAATTAACTAATAGAGCTGTTCAACAACACTACATTCACCCATAAATATCGCAAATATTATAGATGAGATTATTAACTTTTGGGGAATAAAAAAAACGAGATGCAAATCTCACGTGAAAGTTAATTGGTTTTTTTAAAAAAAAATATTGATATTTTTAAAATTACATATAATAATACCTATACTGATGATGCATTGATTAAAAGTATACATCAATGAAAAACAGTTGGGGACGCCATTTTGGTTACCCATATCATTATTAAAAACTTTAAACGAGAGGCCAATTTATTCCTATGTCTGACGGAAACTTTATTAAAGAATTGCCTGATCATCGAAATAATATGGACGCATGTTATCAATTTAATTTAATAGTAGTTTTTAACATGAGTATAATTACTATATGGGTTAATAAAATGGCGGGTCAAGCTGATTGGCATTAAACGACGCTTTCTATTATTATGAATGCATAGCCAATAGGTATTATTATATATCATTGTTTCAAAGATAGATGGTAAATTAAAATCAATACAAATATAGGAATTGGATTTGTTTTATTAATAATAATGGGAAATATTGAAGCGACAAAAAATTTGTAAATCAGCTCAGTCTATTCCTTCCTACCCTAGTAGATAAATCGATAGAAACCACATATTTACAAACCTTACCGTTATTTAGGAGCAATTATAACCAGTGAAAAGACACAAAGACTAGTTAGGACTACTCTAATAATCCGAAAATAATTTATAAAAAAGTGGTTTGTTGCATTCAAATCATGTTCAGAAAATTAAACATAAGGTAGGCATTTGAGATGGAGGGTGGGGGGTCTACCCAAACTTTTTAGGGGCCTTGACCTATCTTAAAAGTTAGATGGTGGCCTTATATTTTTGAAATGGATTATTTTTTTTGAATAGTCAGGCCTCTTTTATAGTAACTTGTAGCTTAGAAAATATATAATGTTATACAGCTATGCTACCATTTAAAGATGAATTACATATCACTTGAGTGAGATAGTGCTTATTATATAGGAGACCTTACAAGTAAAATGATTTCAATATGTTGATTTATATTGGAAATTTGATGGTAAATTTATAAGATAAAAAATTTTTTTGCATAAATAATATATTCAAAATTATTTTTGATACATTTAATATTTGAATATGAGGAAGGTTTTGCATCATTTTCTTGACAAATTCATGCAAATGAAGAGTTTCTTCATATAAGCCATTTTTAAAACATGTGTCCATCAATTGCGGTATTTCTAAAAAGTCTATAAGCTTTGGATATTTTATCAAAGCTAATTTAGCCTTTTTATGTCTAGGAAAAATAGTATTTTAAATTGTAAAAAAATAAAATCACAATACCTTGTGTTAATTTCTTTAGCTACATTTATAAATTGATTACATATTTCTTTGTAATTAGGCAGTGATACCGATAAATTATGTGACAATTCTTTAATTATTACAAACTAAACTTTAAATATAATTTAGAATCATAAAATTTGGATACTTCTTCGTTAATATCTTTAGAACTTTGGGAACTGGTCAAAAATACTTTATAGTTTGTGTATATTAAATTGTGTAATTTTTCTTCAACTGTATGTTTATCTTCTTCGACTTTAATAAATGCATCATCTTTTCAAAATATTAAGGGAATATAATTATTGTATTATACAAAAAACTTAAGGTTAATCCCGATTTATCGTTTAAAATAGAAGATAAAGTTAAGTTAACATTATCCATTTTTTTATTAACGTATGTGAATGTATGTAAGATATACAGCTGATAATCATATGTTTAAGGATTAAAGTATTTGAGTAATGATGCATAACTTTTAATTCAAAAGTTAGAATTGTAATATAGTTGATTGAAATAAAATTATTTAGAAATAAACTTAGTATAGTTTGCACTTCAGTAAAATGAAGAATAATTACGTTAACATAACAGAAAAAAATTATTTGAACAGCCACTTTTTAAGGTATTTAATTATAAGCATATATATTTGTAAACAACATTTTAGATTAGTCAATATTTAAGATATTTATATAATAAGAAAATCACGCTCATAAAATAAGTGGATATGATGAGATAAAAAATAATAATTTATATCGTTCATTAGTAAACTGAATACTCTATACCAGGCTAAAATTCGACAAATAGAAGCTATGACATGTTGGAAGCTTCTAAATAAACTCAGCAATAAAATGCAGAGAACACTTTAATTAATAAGTAACATATTTTCCTCTACGCTCATTTTAACATCATATGATAATTCCAAAAAAAATATATTTTGTAAAATGAAATTTAAGCATAAGTTAATAAGAACTTATTAATGATGTTTGAATCGTGTATTTATGAATCTAGTTATTTAGATTACCCTGAAATATTAAACTCTGACGAAGCCATTTGGATATTAGGGAAATGTTATCAACCTAATTTAGGTAAACAAAGATATTATTTACACTGCATTTTATAATATTAATTAATAGATCGTGAAGCATTAAAAAATGAACTTATATCAAAATTTTGGTTCACATATAGAAAAAATTTTGTTCCTATAAGTTAATTTTATGTTCTTTTTGAAAGGGTAAAATATTATTTAATATAGATCAGAATACTTATTTAACGACTGATGCAGGATGGGGATGTATGATAAGAAGTGGCCAAATGATGTTGGCTGAAGCTTTAACAAGATATTATGATTTACCTTGTAAGATATGCTTTTAAATTATTATTAAATTTTTTATCATTCTATATATCTCAATAAAAATTTTATTGTAAAATACTGATTAATTATATTTACAGCTAAAATATATATATATATCTTAAATTTTTAAAACTTCCTTAAAAAATAATTTAAAAGAGAAATATTCACATATATCATTTACATTTTTTTTAAGATAACTCAAACCTAAATAAGCAAAATCATGAATATGAAATTAGCGATTCTCCATCCTTAAATTCTGATATAGATACAAAGAAAAATGTTATTAAAGAAATAGACAAAAATGATTTATGCAAAACTTCTAATAATTATAACATATCCCACATGATTAATAATGCAAAAAGATACCTCTATGAAATGTGGTACACAAATAACAACACAAATATTTTATGCTCTCCCTCACAATGTCAATCATGTGAAAGAGGCCACAGTTTTAATTCATTATATTGTGAAAAATCTTCTGCTCATATAATCATCAATAATTACAAATTAAAAACTACAAAATTGCACATTCTTAAACTGTTTTTGGAAGATCCTCAATGTAAATTCTCAATTCACAACATATCAACATCTTCAAAATTTTTGGAAAGTAATACAAAAAATAAAACCCATAAAGGAGATAGAGATAATAGTTTTTCTGTTCCTGGAAAATGGTTTGGACCAAATTCTGTTTCTCAAGCTATAAAGTCAGCAATATTTCTTTATACTTATAAAATAATTTTTTAAATAATATTTAAATTGAAATAATATTTCATTATTGTTTTATCAAATAAAAATAATTCGAGTTCTGTTTAAAAAAAAATAAGATTCAAATTTTGAATTTTATAAAAAAAATTATATTAAAGCCTGATATCTTGTTTTTAAAGTTATTTTTTAATTTATATAATCACCTCTCAAGTTTTAATTTTTAATCAAATCAGCACTCATTCCATTCTCTATACATTTTTTTTGACAGAAATTTGATCAAAAACGATACTAGGCACAATATAATATTCCATGTTGCCATGGATAATGCCATCATTTTATCTGATATAAGTAAATTAGAAATAATATATATTATTATTATATTCATATTGTTGCAAACGATTAAGTGCAATATATCTAATTGAAAATCATACAAACTTTCTTGATGTTAAAATTAAAGGAAGACAAACTATTTCTCATTTATAAATATTGGTCAAGTTACCAAGAACATGATTTTTCCACTTGAAATACACTAAACTTATTGCACTGTATATTTATTTAGTTGTTATTTCCATATTAAATCTACCAAATAATTTTATGATTTTCGACAGATTATGAGATTCGAATCTAGGCTCTTTATTTTTTTTACTGTAATAGTGGTGAATCAATATAACTTATAAATATACAATTTCAAAATAACTTAGAATAGGTTTTAGATACTACTATTATAATGTGCTCAAATCGAACATTTTAAATACTGCATTGCAATTGCAAATAATGCATTTCAAATGTTATCGTGCAATTGGTATTACAATTTGGGCGTTGTTCACCTTTTTCAATACTTTTCTATTCATTCCTTTTGCATGTTGACCCATTTTTAAGAACTCGAGGGAGAGGGTATAAAAATTGTTTAAAATTTAATATAATATGAAATGAAATGAAATGAAATGTAAAAGAAAAAGAAAAAAAAAATAATCTCCATTTAAAATGGAATAATTAATGAAATAAATAGGCAGACCATAATATAATTTACAAATTACGCTGCATTTATAGTAAACACTTTATCTTCAAGCGTTGCTTTATTTAACGCAGTGTTATTACAGCTGAGTTAGTTTTAAAAACTGATTTTAGATAAAGCGAAAATAAAGATAATTATTTTATATAATATTTTTAAAATAATCATATATCTTTTTATCGAATTCGCTATCATTTTTATAATCCTATCTCATATTTTTTTTTTCAACGTATCGCAACATATGTTTATATTTTTATTCATAGCGTTAACATCATAACGCTCCATATTTATAAATTTATACCTATTTATTGACTTTATTTTGAAATAACGCAACGCTTGAACAAAACGCGTTCACTATAAATGCGGCCTAAGTTAAAATTCCCAATTTATGATGCTAATAAAAACATAACCTTCATTTAAAGAAGGGATGCGTAAAACGCAAACGCTCAATTTGAAAGACATAGTTTAACTTTGATTGACTAGATTTCAATATGTCTACCTTATCGTTATAATATTTTATTTTATTTTAATAAGGGAAATATAGGTAAAATTTTCCTTTAAAATATTAATCATTTTATAGAGAACTGTTTCGAAGAAAAAGCTACCCAAAATACGAATAAGGTAAGTGCGCTCGACTCTAAGGTCACCGCGGCAATAGACAAACACGATGCATCTTTGATATTGGTCGTCCCGCTCCGACTCGGTCTGACCCATATTATTCCGTCCTACTTCGAAGCCCTAAAGGTAAAATAGTTTGTTTTTTTTGTATAAGAAGAAAAATAGGGATTTTTTTAGCGGTTTAGTAAAATCGATCAATTTGGCTCATTCTCGAAAGCACGGGCCTTTCTTTCTTTCATTTTATTAATCAGCTGTGCTTCTAGACACCAGCTGGGATTTCTATCTGTTTAATCCCCTCAAGGTTCCACCGATTTTTTTTCTCTAAACCTTGAGACTTGCCGATAGTTTTTGGCTAAATAAACCGCTGGGCTAACTCACTTTAATTTTTGGAAATTGAGTGACGTATCGACACTAGTCTGTGAAAGGATATCTTCTTTAAAACCCTAAAAAAAATTTGGAATTTAAAACAGCATGCCTCTGCGTAATAAAAATTTTTTTCTATTTCTTTGAAAGAAATCAAAGTCTTATTTTCCTTAAAAAATGGTCTTAAGTTAAAATCTCACTGAACCCTTACATAATGCATGCAACTATATTTAAGAAATGCTAAGTGTTGTTAAACGGCTCGATTGGAGTCGATTTTTAAAAAATGGCTAACTCAATATTTTAGCTAGACAAATATCGTCTGCCTTGAGATTTTGTCAATTGATGTCCAAGGTGCTATGAGCAAAATTATCAGGCTCGCGTATAGCCTCAAATCAAGCCATTTAACAACACTAGGGATTGTATTTTAAAAAATATGTTCAAAAAATTCTTAGACATTGTTTTTTAAAATTAAGGGTCAAGAGGACTCCACCATGTGAATTTTTTTTAACCTCACCTCTTCGTAATTTAGAAATTAGAATTATCAATAAATTACCGATTTTTTTTTAAAAAAATGATGCGAAACGGTTCCTATTCCGATTCGAGCAAGTTATCGCGCATCTAGCTACTATTATTAGCTGCCACGTATACAATATCAAAATAATGACAAACTGGCGGGAAAAAAATCACGTGATGTTGGGTGAAAAATAAAATGTTTAAAATGCCAGGATATATATATATATAAATTTCTTCGAAATTTACTTATTCTCATAAATATCATTTTGAGTTAATTAACCCCACCCTCACCCCAACTCCCCCAAAAATATTTATAAATATGAAAAAATAATTAAAAATATAATAATTTTTTTAAAAAAAAAATAATGCCTCAAATTTTTAATTTTTTTGTAAAAATCGGAAATAAATATTTTAAAGTGATTAGACCAGAATTATTTCCATAAAAAAAATTGTGTGTGACATGGCCAAAGACCTCCGCATAAAATTTATTGGAAAAATCCCGCCAAATAGTCCCTCCCCTCCCGTCCTTTTACGAAAATGATAGGTCATTAACCTGGTGGTTGTTAAAATGCCAGATCAGAGTCAATTTTTAGAAACGGATCTGGCAAATAGAGGTCCAAACCTTTCTGCCATCCATGAGCAACATCTTCGGGCTTACGTAATACCATTTTGGCTTAAAATCTTAATCACCCGAATCGGGCTTTTTAACAAACCTACATTAACCCTTCTATTAAGTTGTATATTTATTTTATCAAATAGGCATTTTTCCAACTTCCTCAGTGTATTGGAATATTGGGAGGGAAGCCAAAACACGCCTCCTGGTACATAGGATACACCGGTAAATTGATTATTCAAAATCGATTTTTTACGCAATTTTCTACGAAAATATTGGATTATTATTTTTAAATTATTAAGTATCGTATACGGAATTAACTTTTGAATGAGGAGAAAAATCAATAAAAAATAACAAATTATACATACTTAATTAACGTGGTTAATCCCCCTCCCCAATTTCTCCCACCATTTTTTTAGACCATTTTTGTAAAAAAATAATATTTTGACTTCAGAAGATTGACAGTAAGAAATAATAATAATATATATAAGAAATATAAAAAAAATGAATGGAGAAAAAGAAAGAAAGATACTAATGATATTTATATATTTGTAAAATTGTTTTTTTTTAATAAAAAAAAGGCAATGATTTAATCTACCTAGACCCCCATACGGTTCAAAAATCATTGAATCTGAAAGAGTTCACGGAAAATTATCGATCTTGGTTAGAGTCTAATTCTCAGAGTCCAAATAACCCCTTTTCCGACCCTTTTCCTCAGTTCATCTCGACTTTCCATTGCGGCTTTCCTTCCGCGTCGGAAAATGATGAAGACGATGAAAATAGGGACATATTAGATGGTAGCATTGGTGACGGAAACAAAGGTTAAATTCCAGATTAATATTTCCGCGTTGCTATTCATTGGATTTGTGGACTTTATTGCCATTCAATATTTATTTATTTATTTTTACTGCGTTTTATATTTACCAATTACTAACCATGGTTTTACAATGTATAATTGAAAAGTGCGCCCAAGAAATCTCACGTTTTTATAAAACATCTAGGTTTTTATATCTGGATAATTAATAAGTCTTCTCCCTAGACAAATACAGCAGATAGAAATCCTGAAATCCATATTTCCCAACCTGATAGGATTTTCCATCCTATCCTTATCATTCTTTTCTCCGATTCAGATGAATTTAGCTATACTCAAACCAATTTTATCCTTTTAATATATCAAACCAAATAACATAATTGCGTGTTCTATATTGTTATTATTATCGATTTTTTTAGATCGCTTATATAAGGTTTTGGCATTTTTTTGGTTGTGTTTTGAATCTTTTATTTTTAAAGTTCTAAGAGAATTTTTGAATATCGAATTTAGAAATTCATTTGTAATAAATGCAAATGTCGTCTGTCAAGTTTCGGTTTCAGATAATTTTACCACCATATTTATTTTAACATTGGGCACAACATTTATTTATATTCGCAGCCGACGACTCCATTAAACAAATCATTGGTTGAAAAATATGATAGGTACTAAGGAGTCTTTTTGAAAAAATTTCCCCACTTATCTAATTTTAATATTAATACCATAAGAGGTATCTGATTATAGGCATTTTTATGTAATTTACACTAGGCTTATCCTAATATAAATTAATTTTGTGACAATTTTCTTGATAATTTTTTTAAACTCAGACATGATTGAGTCCGCTATATCACGTAGAAGTTTATTAGAATATTTTTTTAAAAAAAATTATATGATCTTCCAGCCCTACCATAAAGATTAAAAGAACTAAAATAATAAAAGGAAGAAAAGAAATAAATAAATAAATGAATGCCATAATGATATTTTTCATCCTTATTTTTATTTTGTAATAATAACGATAGATTTTTAAATTATATTTTAAAAAAATGGTCGGGGAAAAGTTGACAACTCAATTTGTAATCACGTGTCATTCACAAATGGACCCCCGAGTAAAATGGCTTTCGATTGCTTGGATCCATCCTTAAGCCTAGCCTTTTTTTGCGCAAATCAACTCGATTTCGAAAAACTTTGTTCCGATATTAAAAAGGTTTTTTTTAAAAAAAAATATTAGATTGTTAAAGATGGCTGAGTTCATACCGGAAATGCTATCTATATAAGGAAACAATTACTTTAGACCTACTTCACTTATTTAACGCCGTGTTTAAAGTGTTTTTAATGTTTGAAAGATAATAAACTTAGTTTTAAAACAAAAGGTATTCTTAACGCAGCGGTAAAGAAGCGATCCAGGACGGGCTGTTAATCGTTCAGAATAATTCTAACCCATTAGCATCGTTTCCCCAGTTCATTTTTTTTTTACTACTGGTATGAACTCGGCTTAAATTATATTTTGTGTGTGTAATATATCCCTTAATGATTATCATTTTACGGTTTACCGTTTAATTGAAAAGGAAAACCAAAATATTTTTGAAAATATTGAAATGTCACATGTTCTATGAATGTCCACCTAAACAATGTGTAATATTAGTGCTGTAAACGTTAAATCAAAAAGGATTGTTACATCAAAAAAAGAAACACATACCGTTACTTGTTAAATTAAATTCTATATACAAAAATTTACCGTATATAATATACAAAAATAATATAATTATAAAATGAGATGAGATATTTTTTAATAATTTTTTGTATATTTTTAAACAATAATTGATTTTCAAAATTTTGATTATTGTAGACTTTGTACCCTTAATTTTATTTACTGGTGTAAAATAAGATAAACAATTTTGACTGAAAATTTAACAACGAAAATTTAAAATAAAAATGTAGAAACATGAATAGAACTTACCACACTTCCATGGAATCTTGGATGAACCATCATGACTGTTGATCTGACTTGAAAATTCCGCTTAAATTATTTATAAAATTTGAAAAATAAATATAAATAATTTTTTAATACAATAAAATATGTTTTTTCCGTAATTAAAGTAACGTTTTGCGTTACCGTTGCTCAAAAAAAATAAACGCATTAACTCGGTACCTCTAAAAGAAAGTAGTGAATGGCGTTCCTAAAAGGATAACGACGTTACTTTACAGCACTATATTATACTACTTTATATTAAAAAAAAACACATTGACTATATCTTGTCTACCATTCGTTCTTCTTAGACATTATGGTATTGCTTAACCCGAAAATTCTATAGTATAAACGAAAGTAATGTGATAATTTTCAAAGAAATCTTCGATCTAATTGATAGAAAACTGCATTTGTTTTATCACTTTGATTTTTTTTAAAAATTTTCTACTTCTTTACACAAATTACACATTTATATTGAATAATATGATTAGCATTTAATCCAACCCTTCCCTTGCCCCATGTTCGAAATATTGGAACAACCTTTACCACTTTGGACTAATGGGAGCGAAAAATTTCGGAGCGACAACATCATCGATGATAATTTATTTAGAACTCCGTTCGAATTGGATTCCGATCCTTCAACATCTTCTCGCGGGTTCAACCTGAGTTCGGGGGGTATGATGATTATTTTTTTTAACCATTATTTGAATTCCGATATCGATACGGACTGATTGAGTAACGGCTAGATACCGAATAATCGGTGCGACCACTGTCGATGAATTATTTTATGCTTATATCGAATTAAATGTAATTAATTAGAAAGAAAGAAAGATCTCAAGCAATTCCTGAATTTATGCCACTAAAATTAATTTTATCTTAACACAAAAGGACTCTTCTTAATGATAAATTTAAGATAGTAGGCCAATATACAATAGTCAATGGGGACCAATAGAAAGTATGATCTTTTCGCCGTCTGGTTAGCAACATGGGGGGAAGAAATAATAATGGGAAACATATTTTTTTATGTATATTATTATGAATATAGGGAAGTATGAAAAATTTAAAAAAACTAAATACATAGAAAGTAATTGGGTGTAAGTAATATAAACTCCAATATTTTAAAAACCTTACTTAAAGAAAGTTAGAAATTGTGAAATCTTTTAAAACGATAGAAATGGTTTATATGAATAGAATAAACTCGATATTTGAATTGTTTTTTTTGTTATATAATTATTTACAGATAATAAGGCGGATCTGGAAGATTTTGAAGTCATTTAATTAACACGAGCGAGATCGGCATAACATACACAAAATTATTAATATATAACGCTTCCCGCTTATGAAAAAAATATTCCAATTTATATATATATTTTATGAATACGTTATTTATTATCAGTGCCGAAAAAAAAAATTGGTGATGTATATAGTAAAACTTTAAAATTAACATGGTTATAATGATTCATGCCTATTTAAACAATTCCGGTTTTAGCCCATTGAAATTCCATTTTTTTATCGCATTAAAAAAAAGAGAAAAGGTATTTTGAATTATATCAAAGCATTTATCTTATTGATTTGAGATTTCTTATTTTTTTTTAGTCATGACATCATTTCATATATTTTGGACATAAACTATCTAAGAATGATGATTTAATACCCATCCTAACATCCCTAAATTTCGAATTTATCGTATCATCATTAAAATATTGGGCATTTACTGAAATCTTCTTGCCGTATCTATTTTCAACGAAATACGTTAATTTTTTTTACTTTTTCTGCTACAACGTATTTTTATTTTATCAATTACGATGTTTTGGTTATTGTCATATTTAGCGATTGGACTATTGGATCTAATAATATACGAAATAGTTCATATGTTACTAAATTGATTGACAAGTTGTTAATGGCATTTAATCCCAGAACAGATATGTTAAATTTAAAAATAATTTTTTAGAAAATAATTAGATTTTTTAATTGAACGTTGCAACATAGCGTTTCAAAACGCATATAAAAAACGTAAACGCAATCATGTTTTAATTGATGCGTTAAGTTTTTTTTCAATATGAAGCATTTAAAACAAAAAATCACTACAAGACCTTTCTTACCTGTAGGGAAAATAATTCTACTTCAATGTAATCAAAAATTCTTAGACATTTAAAAATTTTATAAATTATTATATATTTATATTGTATTAAATTTATTTATGATATTTAATTTTTTAGACATTTATGTTATTAAATGATATAAATAAATTGAATATTAAGATAAATTTAAAATATATATCCATTAAATTCTATTGCATGTTAATTTGGACACTATTCTAGATGTAGCCCATTGAGCTATTTTAAAGCTTGGGGAATGAACTCAAACTTAAAATAATATTAATTCTATTTTCTTGCAACATGATACAATTAAGATTTTCTGAAATTTAAGACATATATTTAATTATTTTAGTGTAAAAACTATACTTAAATGAGATTTATCGTTGCTTCTATAAATAGATTTTCAATATCAACCATAGTAATTAAATGTTATAACTAAATTAATTGAATAGTAATAAAAATTTAATTTGATATTATTTTCTATTGCCTTTTAATTTGGACACTATTCTTATGTAGCCCATGGAGTTATAATTAAACTTTTTTATGGTCGTCCAGCATTTCTGCAAACCCTTTGGTTATTTTATCGTTCCATGTCCTAAAATTATTATTATATTATTTAATGATTATTATTCTTACAATTTAGAAGAATTTTATCACTTCGAAATTTAAAATGTTTTGAAAAACTCAAGCAAGTTTGTCTTTTAAAAATAAATAAAAATGGAAATATACTCAATTTGAACGAATGTATTTAAAATGCATTGTTTGCGTTTTGAAAAGCTGCGTTGCACTTTCAATTTATGCGCAAAGTTTTCAAAAGTATGATATCTGTTACCTAGAGCATTTATGTAACCTCGACCTTGATACAAAATTATTTTAATTTAAAAAAAAAAATTATTCTGTGAACTATATTTTATGAAGAATTATTTCAAAGAAATTCGTCTAAAGAAATTAGGGATCGGTGCATAACGAAGTCGCTAGTTAGAATTTTCATTTTCACAGTTAGAAATATTTTAAACATTTTTTAAAGACCTGTCCAGGTCTGAAATAGTTTGAAGTTGACAATTAAACAAATATATGTATATTTTATAAAAAATTATAATGAATTGAGCCAGATAATCAATACCAAGCTTGATTTTGTGCTGTTAAAAAACCCGATTTGGGTTGATTTTTAAAAACGGCCTGAATAAGATTTTTGCCAAAATATGACCCCAATTTGGGTTTTTTATCTACACTAGCATGACTTATTGTTTAATGTAATAAAAAATACTTTCGATTTGCTCATAACAATTTTAAGATTTGGGGAATGACTTTAAAATTGGGAAAATATAAGTCATTTTGTAGTTGTCCTTTAATTATAATTCATAAGATTTTAATTAGAGGTTGGTTCAAACACGTGCTGGGAAAATATATTGCTTGATAAGATATTTTTCTAAGGGTATGGCTTGAAATTTACAATATTTATATAATAAAAGGCCTAAGTCCACCTATGCAGGAGGAGGGCTAAAATACTTTTAAATGATTTCCTTAAAAAATATATATATAACAACCAAATTGTCAAAAAAAACATTTAATTACGAAATTATGTAAATTTGGGTTATAACTATAAAAACCAAAAATAAAATATAAAGTATTTTACATGAAATTTATTTGAGTTTTATATACATGAGCTGTATGTAGCGTATTTTCTTCATCAAATAAAAAATTACCTATAATTTTATTACTCTTCATGATTATTAATTTTTAAATTTCGTTTATTAAAGATAAAAGGGAAATACTAAATATATTTGAAAGAAATTAAATTATGAATATAATAAATTTGGTATCTATTAATTTTTATTAAGCTGTATCTTAAATATTAAAAAATTAAATTCACAACGTAACTATAATAATATAAAATATTATTTGAAACATTTTAAATTTTTTAAAAAAGATTTTGGAAGTAACCACCGTAACCTTAAGAAAAAAGGATTAAAAAAAATTTAAAAAAGCGAAGAATGGATGTATTTTTATATCTAATTTTATACATATGTTTATTTATTGAAAAACCTTTCTGGTTTGACATATTTTATAAAAGAATCGTTTATAAAAATCATGCTATAGTTTATTTATGGCTCATAATTTCAAAATCTACATACATGTTCCTTAAAGTCATAGCTATAAAATTAAGTGCAATGGAAGTTTAAATCTAAATTAGAATCCAGGCAATAATGATTTTTATAATATATATCACCATGGACTAAAGTAAAATGGTTAAAATGTATCGTCTGATTAAATATTAACATCTGAACCATATAAAAATATATTTTTGAGTATAAGTAAACATTAAAAAATGGTTTGTGTATTATTGGAATAAAATTTTTAAAATAGTAGTAAAGGGGAATAAAAATGGTCACATTCAAATAGAGATTTGCTCATTAAATATTGTAGCCTCGACACAACTGGGTGTTATATCAATCAGTTTGCAAATTTTCTATCTTTTGTTAGTATATCATTCATTAAACAAAATTTTCCGCAAATCTATGCCATGCTTATAAAAATTAAATTTTAAATTTCTTTGTTTTATGCTGAAATGAGTGAATAACCTGATTCGATAAAATTATTGAAGAAATCTTAGAAATAATCTAATTTTTGTCCTCCTTTATGCAATGCGCGAAGTAAAATTTCCAGATCTTTAATAAATATTCAATTCTATGTGAAGTCGAAACTGTTAAGGATCCACTTATATTTGACAGGTTTAGACAGCTTACGATAGTGTTATCTTTTTTTCTGTCAGCCAGCCATCATAAATACTTTTGAAAATTTTTTTTTTATTTTGATGGCCCTTTTTATCTACTAAAATACCTATTTTACAAAATATAATATGAATACATTGTTTTTATTTCTAAAACATCCGACATTTTTAAATATAAACAATTCGAATATTATGGCATCCAAATACTTGTATTCAACCCTACTAACCTGTAATAATAATCAAAATTCAAATTATAATTCTTTAATTCCTAACAAAAATGTAAACCTGCTTACTCAACAAAATATTAACCCATTTTTAATTACGATCAGAACTCTAAAATATAAGCTGAGACTCCATAAAAGATGTAGATCATGTTATTTATACTTTAACAAAGATGATGGACACTACTATATTGGGTGTCACAAACACCCTAGGCATAAGCAAATTGGAATTAAGCGTCACACATTGGATTGGAAGAATTATTTGTCATATCCACCATCTGGTTATATTTCTCCTTACAAAACTGGTGTATATCAAAGTTATAAATTTATGGCTCCATCTTTAATTGAACGTTACTATGATAAAAATATGGAAATTAACAAATGGCAAGAGCAATTTGGAGATGTCCCAGTCAAACATTGATGCATAAAATAATTTTTTTTATTTATTTATAAAGTTTTATGACAATAAAATAAGTGACCTTCTGTTAAATATTTTAATTATAATTAGTAGTTCATGGAGAAGCATAATTATTTTACAAATGAGAATATATCACAAACAAATAAAATTCAATTTATTTATTTTCAAATTAAAATAAATAACTAAACATAATAAACACATATTAACCTAATTTTAATTAGGTTTATTTAGTTAGTTTTTGATATTATTTTAGTTATTATATTTTGTCAAAATACTTAATATCAGGAAACCAAACCTGGTGAAGAAAACCTGGGTTTTTGAAAAAAAAAATTCCGAACCTGAACCCTGTTTATAAAATTTCCAAAGCCCTGAACTGAAATTAGGAATTTTTTTGAGCCCATGTTCAACAGGGTACAGTGGATATTGTTTAATCATATATTAAGATATTTATTAAATTTTAAATACATATATTAATAATTTAATGAGTTATTTTAATATTTTTAATTTATTTAAATGGTATAATATAAATCCTTAAATATTGATATTCCCTAATTATGATGAATAGATTTGCTTGAAAAGGCATTTTAATAATTTATAGAAAGATTAAGCCCATATCCATACCCATTTTTTCTGATGATAATAGTTTGGATGAAGTTATTTAACAGGATAATTTAGAGAAGATGATATAACTTAAAGAAAGACAGGAGAAAATACTTAAAAGAGGACCAACAATTGTAGAGAAAAGTATTGAAATGATAATTATTAAATTTGACTATTTTAAAAGATTGATAAGAAGGAAAATATTTTGTATTTTTTGTGCTAAGCTGCAGCACACTGTTTGATATATTGTAACCAAAATCTTATTTGCTATTCCTTTAATCCACATTAATTTATCATATTTTCATATAAATATATTTAGTAGTGCTGAAAGATCTTTTTGACATTTGAAATTTTTTCACTAAATAGATC